GGGGCTTTCCTTAGGAGCCAGTACGGGCTGGCTGGGGAGGATGGGAGGCGCCTGTGGCAGCCTCTGCCGGACAGTCTCCAGGTTTCGCTTTCCAGTGGCCACGGGCGCTCGCCCCCCTCCTGCCCCGCCTCGAGCTTCGAGTTCCCTTTCCATTTCCGAAGCGCGCCCGCCGTTCGCCATCCAGCCGAGTCTTCACTGCCACGCGTGGCGGGCGGGCGGACCCCCCGGAGGTTCTCCGGAAACACGCGGCGTATTTGGCGCAGGCTCCTCGCGGGGGCCACGCGTGGGGACGGGCCGAGGGTCCTGGCCGACGGAGAGGCGCAAGGAAGCGGTTCCTCACCTCCCAGCCATCCGCGAATTGTCCGCTTCCGGGCGCTCGCCTTTCGCCCTCGCCCTCGCCGGGCTCGCTGCCGCCTCTCCGTGAGGGCCTCGTTTGGGCTCTCCGATCGATCGGTCCGCGCCGGCTTTATCGATTAGCTACGATCTGCAACGGCTGTTTCCGCGCAAGGGTCAGCGCGGGTCGGCGCCCCCTCCCCCGGGTACGAGGAACGCGTCTCCAGCGCCCCTTCTGCGGGGAGGGTGCCGCCGAGGGGGCCCTGGGGGCGGCTCTCGCCCGCCCCCTTCGCCCCGGGGTGACGTGCTCCCCGCGCGAAGCGGGCGCCGCCTCCGCTTGGCCCCTGGGCCGTTCGCCCCGGCTGCAACGCGATCGCGGCCGGCGGCCCCTTCCCCGGGCGCCTCCCGTTGGCCTCGCCCTCAGCTGAGGCGTGCGGCTCCGGTGCGCCCCTTTCCGTGCTTTCCCCTACTGCCCCCGGCAGCCCCCCCCCCCCCCGGGCGCTCCTGCCCCGCCGCTCGCTTCCCGCGCGCCTCCCGGAGCTCGCTGCCGCCTCGGGAGGAGCAGCCGCTCTTGAGTGGCTCCTTCGGGCAGCAGGTGGCAGCACACGCCATTGCTAAACTGGCCTTCCTCAGCTCGGCGGCCTCCAGGTGTGCTGGCTTGCTGGCTGGGGACGATGGGCCTTGCGGTTGAGCACTGGAAAGTGCTGCTGGCCAAAAGAGCCCGGCTTCTTTAGGATGGATAGAAGGAAGGCCCTCTTCACACCACGTGCAGCTAAACTGTGGAACTTGCTGCCACTGGGGGTGGTGAAGGCCGCCCGTCTGGGTGGCCGTAGCCGGGGCTGGAGGAGGAAGAGGCTCCCCGTGGCTACTGGCCCCGCTGGCCACGTGCTGCGCCCACTAGGAGAGGCCGCCTGCCTGCACACGCCAGTTGCTGAGGAGCTGGGCAGGGGGAGGTCTTGCGTCTGCCCTGCTTGCGGGATCTGGGGCAGCCTGTTTGCCGCCATGTGAACTGGCTGCTAGACTGGGTGGCCTTGCTCTGATCCCGCAGGGCTGCTCCCGAGGTCTCTCCCGGTGCCCCTGGAGCCGTTCCCGAGCGAATGATCCCGTCATTCCATTGCACTCCTAGCCTGCCTTTTCCTCTTTCCCTCGCACGTTGTATCCTCACGCAGCAGCCCTGTGCGATGGGTCAGGCCGCGTGGAAGCATCCGGCCCAAAGCCCCCCCCCGGGGGGGGGGCGAGCACTCAGGCCACCCTCTCCAGCCCGCACTGCCCCGGCCCGGCAACTGCCCCTCCCCCTTGTTCCCTCTCCCTTGCAAGAGTGTGTGTGTGTGTGTGGGGGGGCTCTTGGGAAGGAGAACCCTTGTGAGTGTGTGTGTGTGTGTGGGGGCTCTTGGGAAGGAGAACCCGTGTGTGTGTGTGTGTGTGTGTGTGTGTGTGTGTGTGTGCGTGCGTGCGTGCGTGCGTGCGCGGGCTCTTGGGAAGGACAAACCGGCGTGTGGGGGCTGCTTCTGCCCATCTCCATTCCAAGCCACGTGAAGCCTGCCCCTCCGTGGTTTCCGCAGGAGCGGTTGCCTGCTGAGCAGCCCCATGTCAGTGAAGGCACAGAATGGGGCCGCCCCACGGTGGACACCAAGTCGGGGCGACTGCGTGGGCTAAGCGGGGAGCGATGCCGAGGCGGCGTGGGGCCCATCCTGTTGGGGTGGGCAGGCGCCTTTGAACTTTTGTTCCCTTAAGGAGCAACTCCCATCATTCCCAGCCAGGAGGGCCACTGGCTGGAAGCCAAGGAATGTTGGCCTGGGACCCGGAGACGGGGGTTGCAGTCCCTGCTCAGCCTCGAGACGCCCTGGGGGGCTCTGGGCCAGTCGCTTCCCTTCAGCCTGACCCACCGGGACGCACGTTAGTCCAACCCCCGGGATCCTCACAAGGGCGAAGACGGCAGGCTACACATGCAGCGGGGGGGCCCCTTCATCCCGTGGAGTCCCCCTCCTGGCCTCCTCGGAAAGTCACCCTCGCCAGGGGCGCGGGCAGCGCAGCTGGGCGGGGCGGGCACCGAGAGGCGGGGGGAGGCGCGAGGATCCAATTCGGACACGGCTCGTGATGGCGCCTGCGCTCATCGGCCGCCCGACGGCGACCCCCCCCCCCGCGACGCTGCCGCCGCCCCGCGCCAAAGGGGACCGGCGGCACCCCCCGCCGGAGTGCCGGCACCCGAGGCCTGCCGCTGCTCACGAAGGGGCGCGGCCCGCATCCGCCCCGAGGTGCGCGGCGCCGGAGGGGACGTTGCCCAAAGCAGCGGCCGGGATTCCTGTTTGGAAGGGGGAGCTGACGCGCTCCCGGGACTGGCCTTCGGGCAGGGGTCGGGGGCGCCACTTGGCGGACTGCGCCCGCGGGACCCCCGCAGGAGCGGGCAGGCGGGAAGCAGGCGAGCCGTGCGGGAGGCCCCCGGGGGCGTCACGGGCGGGGAGCAGGCTGGGCGGCCGGCGGGAGAGGCGCCCCTCCCCCTCCCTCCCGCCGGAGGGGTAGGGAGCCCGCCTGGGGAGCGCCTGCCGAGCCGGTTGGAGCGGGCGGGGAACGCTCTGCGCGGGCGCCACGGGGTCCCGACCCAGGAACGGGAGTGCGCTGGGGGCTCGTGGGCGAGGGCGCCGCTAGGAAGGCAGCGCTGCGCTCCGGCGCCCGCATCTTCCGAGGCCAGGTGAGCGGCGGGGCCAGGGCATCGGCCGGACGTTCCCCGAGGGAGGGAGCCTCTGCCGACAACGGTGTGCCCCGGAGCCCTCCCGAGTGTTTTGGGTGTCAGGCCCCGCGGTCCGCCATGGCTGCTGGCGGCCCTTCAGCTCGGGGGAGGACGCGCTTTCGGCCACGGCTTGGCGGCGCCCAGAAGCGCGGGGGCCGAGCTCGCCCTGTCCAGCTGCTGGCGAGGCGCCCGGCTGGCTCCACGGGCAACCCGCACGCCCGGCGCCGGCTCGGGGCGATCTGGATTCGGCGCCCGGCGCTGATCTTGGAGCGCCCTCCGGGGCCCCACATGGTCCCACAGCCGGCCTGGCCGCGCCGCGCCGCCTCTGTAGCTGATCGCGCCTTGCGTTTGTGCGCGTGTGCTACATGGGACTTATTTCTTCCTAAAAGGTGGTAGGAGGTTTAAAATAAAACACCTTTTGTGGTGTGACTGAAGTTGTGTCCTTCAGTACTAGAGACAAACGCCTGGAAAAGGATCAGCTGGGAATAACAAGCAAGGCGCAGCGAGAGGCTCGGTCCTCAGCGCGGCTGGCAGCGCCGCCCCACCGCCACCTGCGCGGCCGGCCGGCCCCCCGCCCCGGCCCGCAGGAGGTTCGCTGACCCGCGTGGTGGGTCAGCCGAGCTCTCGTGAAAGCGCCCTCTGGCCGCCCCGAAGCTGCCTCCCCGACCCCCCCCTCCGCCTCCCCACCACCTCAGCAGGAGACGATGCTCTTCCACGCGCCCCCGAACGCAGCACAAGCCCATGGCTACCGCTGTGCTCACGGGCAGCCACTGCCCCCGAGCACGTGTGCAGAGCTCAAGCGTTACCAAAATGCATTCACACGGAAGTCTCGGAGGTCACAGCAAGTGCACAGAGTCCCCCCCCCCCATCTGTGGAGTGCGCTGCGGGGGCTGTGCAGCAAGGGCCCGTGGGATTGGTGCCAGGAGTGGCCGGGCGACATGCGGGGCACACGCCACCGGGAGCCGCAGAGCGCCTGACATCCTGTTGCGGGTGGCGAGGGTCAGTGGCTGAACAAGGAGGCCGAGCTGGGCGCTGATTTGCAGAAGGGCCACGGGGTGATGGAGGACTGCCTGCTGGGCTGCACAAGGGGACACGGGGGGGGGGCAAATGGGAACGGCCCCAGCTGAGGGCAGGGGGCTCCTCTTTCTCCACCCGGGTGCCCTGTTGCAAGGCAGGGCATTCCTGCCCGGGTCACCCCGGCAGTGGACAGGACCGAAGCCTTCCCCATCTTCCTGATTGTGGGAAAGCTTTTAAGCTTTTTACTCACGTGCAAGCGTGGGCACCAGGCCTTCCCATGGCCAGAGCCCGAAGCAGAACCAAAGCACCCCGCAGGGGAATCGCCCCTTTCTGGCCTGCCACTTCCCCAGCCAAGAGCTGGAATGCGGCGGCGAGAGCGAGGCTCCGGCAGTCTCCCCACCCAGGCAGCGCCGAGGCAGAGGAAGCCCCCCGGGGACGCGGCGGGCCTTGGCCGAGGCTCCTCCTTCCAGATTTGGCCTCCAGGGCCTGGCCAGGAGGCTGGTCCCCCAGGGCCCCCTCTGGGTAACAGGGGGGGCTGTAGCCGGGGGGGCTACTTGGCGCAGGAGGCCGGTTGTCTGCACGGAGGCGCTGGCCGTGCATGCGGCGCGGGGCGAGCGAGCCGGCGGGAGACTTGGGCATATTCCGGACCCAAAGCAACGAGAGGATCCCCGGTCTGCGACTGGGCCGCTCACACGACGCCGCTGCCACCGTTGCTGCCTTTTGCATAATTTATTCTGGCGCCATGGTTGCAGCCGCCATGCGGTCGCGGAGGTGTCTGGGCGGGGAGGGAAGCCGCTCCTGACTCCCTCCCTCTTTCCCGAGGGCTGCGGTGGTCTCTCGGCGAAGCGCGAAGCCCCCGAGGCGCTCCGCGCGGGGAGGGGCGGCGTCCGGGCGGCGTCCTCGGCGGGCGCCCGGTGCGCGCTCAGAGGGCGCCGTGGACGATGCGCGGACAGGCCTCGGGCGGCACGCAGCGCGCCTCGTGCTCCACCAGCCCCGCGGGGCACTGGCAGCCCGGCACGCAGGGCTTGAAGCAGCGCGACTCCAGCGCCCCCAGCGGCGCGGCGTGGTCCACGCAGGTCCTGGGGCAGGGCGGCCCGCACTCGTCGAACACGTAGCCCCGCTCCTGCGGGCAGCCCACGGCTGTGGGGAGACGGCGCTGTGACGGGGCGCCGGCCGCGGGCGGGCGCGCCTTTCACCCGCGGGAGCCTCCGCGGCTGCCGGGAGCGCCCCCCGCCCGCCCCCCCCCCCGCCCGCCAGGGGCCCGGCCCCTCACCGCAGAGCGCGGGCGAGCGCCAGCGCAGCACCAGCCCGGCGTGGCGGCACTGGGCGGCGTAGGCGGCCAGCGCCTCGCAGAGGCAGTCGTCGGCGGCGGCGGCCGCGCAGGCGCACAGGTCGAACACGCAGGCGGCGAAGAAGGGCTCGGGCGGCACGGCGGCGTGGCAGCGCTCGAAGGGCGGCGCCTGCAGCGCCTTGCACCGCGCGTTGGCCTCCTTGCGCGCGCGGTAGCCTGCCTCCTTGCAGGGGTCCGCGTCCGTCCCGTCGGCGCAGCCGCCCCCCGGCGCGGGCCCGGACGCGCTGCCGTTGGCCGCGGCCACCTGCCGAGAGAGGCGTGCGTGCTCAGCGGCGGCCTCCCCGCCCCCCCCCGGCGCGCCCCGCGGCGGCTGCGGAGGGGAGGCGGCGAGCAGGCCGAGGCCCGGGCGTCCCCCCGAGAGTGGGCAGCGAGGGCAGGCGCGCGCCTGTACGGACGACAGCGCGGGGTGGGCCGCCCCTCCCTCCTGCGCCGCCTCCATGAACGCCCCTTCCTCCGTCGGCTTCCTGCAAGCTCCCTGGGGCAGGGGCTTGGCCGCTTGTTCTCGCAAGCGCCATCGTCGGCGCTGGTGCCGTGCAGACAACCGCCGTCCCGCCCCGGCCTTCCTGCCGAGGCTCCCCTGGGATTCTGTGGCCCCCCGGGGGCTAGCCCGACCCCGCCTCTGCCCTGCCTTGACCTTCCAGCTGTTGCCAAACGCCGCCTCCGACAGGGCCAGGTGTCCGGACCGCAGCCGCAGGTCGTCCTGGGGGTAGCCGTTGAAGTTGCCGCAGAGCCCGCAGGTGCGCCCCTTGTACGTGCCGGGCACGCTGACCTCCAGGTGGGAGCGGCCGTTCCAGAGCACCTGGGAGGGGTGGCAGAGAGGTGCAGGGACGGCTCGCCCGTGCCCGGCCGTCCTGCAGCCACCCGGAGAGCCCGGCCCCACCTCGGATGCGCCCCGCTGACGCGAGGCCACACAGGCCCAGCAGCCACTGGGTGCGAGGCCCGGGCGGAGGAGCCTTCCCGGCCTGGTGTCCCCGAGGCGCCCGGGCGCCACACCCGCTGGCCGTGCGGGCAGCAGTCCCAGCCGCTCTTGGGGTGTCATCCGGCACGCCTGGAGAGCTCAGGCTGCTGCGTGGCCAGATGTGGGGGAGCCAGAGCTGCCCCCCCTGTGCTCTGACACGCCTGCAGAGGGTGTGGGTCTCATGCGCCCGTTTTGGCAACAGGGCCTGGGGAAGGGGGGCTCCCCGGCGGATGCCCAGTTGCTCCGGGGAAAACACGTGCTGGGCATCCAGGGCAGGGCTGTGACGACCCCTCCCCAAGTCCAGCTCTGGTGCCCGGCAGACTTTTTCGGGTGCTCATCGCTGGCAGGGGAAGCGGGCCGAGCCGAGGTCAAGCCGGTGCACGGCGCGCATCCAAAGCTGGCAAGAGTGTGCGCAGAAAGCGGACTCTGGCGGCGCCGCGGTGCGTGGGCAGCACAAAACGCCAGACGGCTCGCCTCGCCTCACCTCCTGGCGCGTGTCCACACAAACGCTCGGCCCCCCGGAGCCCAGCCAGATCCGGGCGGATCGAAAGCCGGCCGGAGCGCGGGAGCCGAGGCCAGGGACCCGCCGGATGCCCGCCCAGGCGGACCCCGCGCCCCCCCCATGCACTGGCCGCGCACCGAACTGGCTGGAGGAGCGGCCCCTCCCCCTGCCACTCCTACGGGATGCCCCCCCAGCCTTCCCGCCCGGCACCTTGACGCCAACATGGGTGGTCAGCAGCAGGGCGTTGGCCTGCCGCTCCAGGTACAGGTGCGGCTCCTTCAGGAAGGGGAGGGCCACCGCCTGGGCATCCACCTGGGGAGGGCGGGAAGGCCGGCTCAGGCTGCGGCCGGCGGGCGCTCATGCCAGCGTACCCGGCTGCCCGGGCCCCCTGGCAGGGGGCACACAGGCAAGAGCAGGTGCCAGGTGCAGCGGTGCACCCCCCAAGCTCCTGCTCATGGGGGGGCTGCGGACCAGAGCCCCCACTCCTCACCGTGACGGCGTGGTCCTGGAGCAGCCGCACGGTGGTGCCCCCGATGAGCACAGCCACCTCCTTGGTCCAGGACACGCCCCGACGCCCACGGTCCTCGTTGGTGACGTGAATGCTGCCACGGGGGGGGGCAGGGTCAGTATGGGGGTGCCGGAGCCAGCACAGCCCCCACAGGGCTGGTGCGATGGCGCCCAGGTCCCGGCTCTGCCCCCCGGCCGCAGGCTCCAAGCAGAAGGACGCAGGCACCCCACTCCCCGTTCCTTCCCAACGGCCGCAGGGATGTGGGGCCCACGGAGAGGCTGCCCTGCCCGCGAGGGGCCTCTGTGCAGGGCGGGGCATTCCAGGGGTGGGACGCCCCAGCTCCGTCCGGGGGGGCTGGCGAGTGCCAGGACCGATGGTGCCCTTCGTTGGAGTTGGCCCCTTCCTAGGACCAGGGGCTCCCGCTGCCACAAGGGCGACAGACGCTGCAGGATCTCTCCCCGGAACCCAGCCCTGAGCCCCCCTCCCCCCCGGCCCCGAGCAGGGCTGGCCCTCGGTGCCCCACGCTGCCCCACGGCCCCCCTCCTCTGGCGCAGGAAGCAGGCTCCCCTCCCTCCCCTCCCCGGGCTGCTGCGGGCTGGGCTCCAGCGGGCACTCGCGAGTGGCAAGGGGGGCTCACCTGAAGTCCCCCCCCTCGCAGTCCTGCGCCAGGACGTAGGTGCAGCTGCCCTGGAAGTGGAGCATCTTGCCGTCGAACGTGCGGTAGTGGGGGTCCCCGAAGGCCACGCAGGTTGCCGGGTGCGGCACGCAGCGTGGGCAGCACAGCCCGGGCACCAGGGTGGGCGTCTCATCCTGCCGGCAGTGGCAGGGGCCAAGGCTCAGGGCTGCCTTCCGGCTTCCGCTCCAGCCAGCCCGACACCCCCTGCCCCGTGTCCCCCCCCGGCGGCCAGTCCGCCCCCGAGAAGAGCTGCGCTCGCCGGCCTCCTGGGGCAGCCTAGTGGCGCCAGAGCCGCCCGGGGGCAGCCCCAGAGCGGTGCTCAGAGGGGCGCTGGGGCCGCCTGCCCCCTCCTCGGACTGCTTAGCTGCAGGCCTCGTGGCGGCTGGGGAGGGGGCCGGGCCTTTTCCCAGCGCCCCTCGACCCTCCCTGTGCAGCGCGAAGGCCTTTGGGCGTCTGCTCTGGAACGGGCCCCGCTGACCCCCGTCGCTAGGCAAAGTGGCTGCTCCGGCGGTGGCGCCGCAGCGTTTCTGGCAGGCTGTGGAATCTGCCTGGGAGAAGGGAGCGGAAAGGTGGCCCGGGGGCAGAGCGGAGCCCCTGCGAGCGGGGAGGCACTGGCATCTCTGCCCCCTCCGCCAGTGGCCCCAAGAGGCAAGCCCCAGGGCCTGGGGCCCTGCGCCTGGGCGGCTCCCCTCCCCACGGCGCCCCCCAACTCACGGCCGTGCAGGCGGTGGGGGGGCAGCGCTCGCTCTGGCAGCGCACTTCTCCGGAGACGCAGGCGCAGGCCGTGCAGGCGTCCACCTGCCAGCGCTTGCCGGACGGGAAGACGCGGCCTTGGTGGGAGCAGTTGCCGCTGGCATCTGGGGGGGACCGGAAGGGGGAGCGGTGTGCTTGCGGCCTGGGGGCGTGCGCTCTCCCGGAAGCGCACCTGGGCTGCTTCCCTGCCCGCAAAGCACCTTTGATGCACTGGAAGCCCTCGGCCTGCATCCTCCGGCCGTAACCCCACACACGACCTTGTGGGGCAGGCCAGTGTCACCGGGGTCTGAAGGCGCTCTTGCGCGCTTAAGCGTGTGCACTGTTTAACTGCCACTTGGGAGCACCTGATCTGCAAGCGGCGAGTGCAGAAACAGTAATCGGTACCTCAGAGACGCTGCCCGGAGGGAAAGCCCACGGCGGCAGGTGTGTCTGCAAGATGCACCCGAAAGCCATCGCATTCCCCCTCTCCGGGCACACCTGCCGCCGGGCCACGTGCCCCGTATCCTGCCCCCAAGGCAGCGTCCTTGGCCCACGGGGCTCTCGGCCGCCACACGTGGTCCGAGGCAGGAACGGGCAGGCTCTGGCCCTCGGGAGGCACTCCCGGGACCCTGTGCCACAGGCCAGACCGGCTACAGCGGAGGGCCGGGCAGAACATCTGGGCGGCTGCAGCTGGCCCAGCCTCACTTTGCAGCAGCGCTGGGGGCAAACACGAACGGGGGCAGTCGTCCGGGGGACCTGCCGGGAAGGGGTTTGTGTTCTGTGTTGTGATCTGGAAAGCACGGGCAGCGGGCGGCTGCAGGGCAAGCCCCCACCCCAGCTTGTTTTGATGCCTGCCACTCGACCCGCGTCTTCATGCACATGCCCCCAGCAAGCCGCACAACCACCCTGTGGGGCAGGACAGTGCTGCTATCCCTCTATTGTGGGATCAGGTGGGGTAGAGGGAAGGGGCCGCCTGGGGAACTCCTGGCAGGCAGGGGGAGCTGCATCCGCTCCCAGCACTGAGGTGCCCTTAAGCAGGCGGGCAGCTATTGGTTGGGGTGCGGGGAGTGTGCCAGGGCTGGTGCCATGCCAGCTTTTGCTGCCGGGGCAGGAGATGGGCAAGTCCCGGGCGCCTGGCATTGCCGGCCCAGGTGGCTTCAGCAGCCCAGAAGAGATGCTTGCGGGAAAGCGAAGCACAGGTCACACGCCCCAGGGTGTGGCGTGGCATGTTTGTCCTTTGCTAGCAGGAGCCGGGGTGGCATTTCTTCTATCCGGCAGAGTCCCTTCGTTCTACAAGGAGGTCCCACAGAACAGGCCCTGCCCCAGGCCAGGCAGACTGGCCAGCCCAGCCGCTGGTCCTACCTTGGCACTGGGCGCAGCACTGGCCGGGCAGCCGAACCGTCGCGAGGCCCTCCTGGCACGCCGCGGGCAGGCATTCCTGGATCTGGCACTCAATGTGCCCCAGCTGAACAGCAGGCAGAGAGGCCGGCGTCAGAAGTGGGGGAGAAGGGGCACAGAGCCCCCCCCTTTCTGACCCACGGCCCACCACCGCGACCCTGAGCTCTTCTGCCCAGCCCCCCTCACTTTCACCTGCACCGTTCGCTCCAGGTCGCCTCGAGAGCCGCAGGTGGGTCTCCGGAAACGCCTGCCTCAAAGGCAGTGCCAGAGCTCCCCTCTGCCCACAAGGCTCTGCATGTCCCAGCAGATCAGAGCACTGCAAGTGGCCATTTCTCGGCCTCAGTCTCCTCCTTCGTGAAATGGGAACAGTGAGAACGCGACCACCGGCTCTGGGGCTTCGGGTGCAGGCCAGAGATACCGCCAGACGCTGGTCAGTGGCGTGTCTCCTTCCGATTGCTCAGCAACCAGAAACGCTCTGCCCCCAGAGGGGATGGGGGGGGTCCTGGCAGAGAGCCCCTCCTGGCCTTACGTTGCACGAGCAGGAGACACAGCTGTCGGCACCGTCCTTCCAGGTCTCCCCGTCGGGCACACGCCGTCCCTCGGCCTCAATCACACACTCTGCAAAAGGGAGGACGGATGCCTTGGCTGGGGGGCAGGCACAGAATCTTTTGGCCAGGGGGACCTACCTGGAAACCTGGGGCAGGCCGGGGGCCTGGGAGGAAAGAGGCGCTCAAAGGTTGAGGTTCTGGGGCCACGAGGCGGATCCAGCCCTCTGGTCCGAGCAAAGGAAACGTGGAAACGTGGCGGCTGTTCTACCCGAAGTGACTCGCGAGAAATCAAGTCAGCAGGGAGTTCTGTGACGGCTGCGTGGCACTGGGAGCCGGAGTCCGGCCATCCAGAGGGCTGGGCCGAGCTGCCGGACTGGGCCAGAGCGGGGGCTGTTTCTGAGGAAGGCTCCGGCCGGGAGGGGGCGGTCTGTTCTCTCCCTTGAAGAAATCCCCCACGGACTGCAGGGCGGCCCGGTCGTTCCAGAGCCCCAGCCGGCCATCTCACGTGGCCACCCAGCAAGCAGGCGCGCGTCCCGGGGGGAGCGGGGGCCCCACCAGGGAGTGGGCTGCTGCTTCCCGTGGGTGGCCTCGTGCGCTGGCTCCTTTGCAGGATGGGAGTGGGGGCAGCTTGCCTTGCCTGGAGGCAGTAAACTGGGTCTGGGCCAGAGGCCCTGTTTATGCTCTCAAGTTCTGCCTGTGTGTGTCTGTGTATAAAGGCCTCGTCTCCCAAGGACCCAGCTCTCTGTAAGGGGGGGGGGAGATGCCTGATTTCAGGAGAAGTTCAGCCAGAAAGATTCAAGGGTGGGGCACTGGTGGGTAAGAAGCTGGCTGATTTGGGGGAGCCGATGCAGCAGGGACCCTTCGCCGTCTCCCCCGCCCCCCCCCAGCTCAGTCCATGCCTGTGGGCCTCCTGAAGATTCAGGCTCCACATGAATGACTCAGGGCTCTAGTCCTCATGGGTCACGCCCAACACATTCAAGGGCACGTGTGGGAGCACCGGGGGGGGGGGGGCTCACCGTCGCAGACCGGGCAGCAGGCGCCAGGCGGGGTGAAGCGCTCCGCGGAGGGACAGCTCAGCGGCGGGCATTCTCGGCGCACGCAAACCCAGGTCAGGTCCTGCAAGAGATGGGCAGCCGCTGGGCCGGGGAACCGAGGCGGCTGGGGCGGCGCGGGGGCGGCTGGGAGCAGACCGGCTGCCCGCCGATCCTCCCTTCTTCACGAGGGCAGCGCAGGGACAAGGAGCGGGACCCCCACCCGGGGACGGCCCCGCCGGCGCCCCCTAGCGGTCCACCCGCGGAAAGAGGCCATCCACAGGGCAGGCTCGGCCCCTGCCACCCCCAGCACCCCAGGGGCAGAAGTCCAGGGTCGGGGGGGGCTGGTCCTGAAGGTGCAGCACCATCCCGGCCTGCAGAGGCTTCTCCGAGGCAAGGCCAGGGCGCCCCGCTCTCTGCAGCAGCTCCGAGGCGCCCCGCACGCGCTCGCCCGCATGGGTGGGCCGCGGGGGGGCTCACCTGGCATTGGCAGGTGTAGCAGGGCACGTCCGCACTGTGCACCTCGTTGCCCACCAGGCCGGCGGTGCAGTTGCCCAGGGCTTCTGCAAGGCAGGATCCGCGCAGCGGGTGAGCCGTCGGCTGGAAGCCCCTCACCAAGCCTCGCCACAGCCCTGCAAGGCGGGCCGGTGTCCCGAGAACTTCAGGTGTGGGGGGCTGCGTGGGAGACCGGGAGGGGCTTGCAGGATGAAATACACCGCCTTTGGGCGCGGCGCACAGGCCCTCAGCTTCGTGCCACCACACCTGAGCCCGGCGGTTGAACGTCTTACGGCCCAAGAGGCGCACAGAGTTTTGGAGAAGCCCTTTCAGGGGGGAGGGGGGAGATGCATTCCAGTGACGGGTGAGAGCAAATGGGGAGGGGCAAACCCAGCAGCCTGTGTTGGCTTAAAGCCCTCATGGCTTCTCTGTGGGGGGGGGCTTACTCCACCCCCCTTCTGGGCTGCGCATGGGCCCACCCTGCCAGGTCTCCACAGAGTGCCATGTGCCGCCTGCACACGTGGCAGAAACCGCCCAGACGTGTCGCCGGGGAAGCGCAGCACAGCTGCACTGGCAGGAAATCCACAGTTCAGGGGAGTGATGCCCCCCCCAATAACCCAGTGGCCGTGGGAGGCTGCAGCTGTGGGGCAGTGGGCCTTCGGGAGCACGGCCGGCCGGCCAGCCCTCGGTCTGCAATGAGGGGCGCTGCGCAAGGGCTTGGTGCGCAGGTTCTGCCTGGAAGAAGCTGCCCAGATGCCCCGGGAAAGCTGTGCGGTTGCGCCTGCCGCTTCCCCGCCCCCTCCCATGCACGCCTGCATGCGCAGCGTTGGGGAAGAGCATGCGGCAAAGTTTCCATATGGTGCCGCTGCTCTGCGGCAAGGTCCTATTCGGATGCGCCTCTACAGAAGGGGGGGCTGCTGGGAAGGGAGCATCTGTGGCTGCTGATGGTCCCCCCATCCCACAGCAAGCGAGGGCAGCCGCTCCCTGCAGGCTCCCCCACAAGCAGGTCCGCCGCCAGCGTGATGCTCTGGGGCACGAGGCACATCAGGCGCAGGGCCGCGTCCAGCCAGCGACGGCCTGTGCAAAGGGGCCTCGGAAGGGCCTGGAAGAGCCCCACGCCGGGCATTTGCGAGTGGGGGGCCGTGCGGCAAGCAGGTGGGAAAGGGCTGGGAGGCTCCACGTGGAGCGGGCCCCCCGAACGCCCCTGCCCCTCCTCCCGCCCGCCTCCCTCCTGGCTCTTCGCACCCCAGTGCCCAGCGGATCAAGGATTTCCCTTTGCCCCAGGAGTCCCGTCTGGGCTGCAAGGGAAGCAGCCGTGCAGGGCGCAATGGGGCCCAGAGCCAGCACACAGGCCCCAGCTCCAGACGCAGGTCGGCCCGGGCGTGCCACAAGCCGGGGGCCCCGAGCCCCCCTCCCACCACGGGAGGGGCAGGGGGTGTCCCACTGGGGCGAAAGTACGCCAGAGTGCGGTGGCAGGGTGCGCCTCGCGGCTGGAAACAATGGGTGCTGCTCCCTCGTTTAGAGAAATAGGGCTGAAGGGTGAGGGGCAGTCCCCGAACAGGCCCCGCGAGCCCCCCCGCGCGGAGGGCCAGTCGTGCGCAAGAAGCGCCTCGAGGAGAGGAGCCCCGAGTGCCCTGCCAGCCTGCAGGGCGTGGGGAGACTCACGCGCACAGGTGGGGCAGCAGCGCCCGGGGCCGGGGGCTTGGACCTGCTCTGGGGGGCAGTCTAGGAGGCTGGGGCAGGGCCTGCGGAAGCAGCGGATGTGTTGCTCTCCATCCGACAGCAGCTGGGAAGGGGAGGAGAGGAGACGGGGAGCACAGGTCAGGGCTCTTCCGGGAGGCTTCCTCGTGCCCGCACGGGATGGGGCATGTGCTGGCCCATGTTTCTGGCAGAGCAACATGCGCAGCCCCTCCTGTCTGGCCTGGCTAAGGGGCTTTCCTCTCTGCTTCCGGGCTCTCCCTTGCCTCCCACTCCCCCTCCTGGGCCACGGTGTGTTTCCAGCAGTGGGGTCCCAGCGGTCAGCCGATCCCCCTTGGTGCACAGCCAAGAGAGTGGGATCTGCTGAGGGTTCTGGGAGAAACGCCGGCCAGCACGGAGCGGGGGCAGGTGGGTGAGGTGCGTGTGGATTCGCAGCCCCAGCTGCTCCGGGGGGCGACACCCCTTCCGGCCAGGAGATGCGCCCAGGCTGCTTCCAGGAAGTGCAGCTCAGCTGTCGGGGAGGATGACCCCAGCAGCGGGGGGGCGTGTGGCCTGGAAGGACGGGATTTGCCCGGAAAGGCGCCTGCAGGCGGAGCGGCGGCTGCAGAGGAGTTGACCCACCAGCCTGAGGAGGCCTGACGTGACACGCCGACGGTCCCCGAGGGCCAGGCAAGAGTCCGGATCCCCGAGCAGATGGTGCTTCGTCTTCTGTCTATTTTGGGCCGCTATGAACTGAGCTGGCTTTCCCTGGAGCAAATCCCAGGGGGGAAAGTGGCGGAAGCCTATGCCACCCCCAGGGGAATTCCATGCCCCTGGACTGAGCCAGCGTGGCTGTTCCACCCCCTGACGTGGCACGGGCTTCCTGGCTGTGGCTCCCCACCTCTGGCCACGGAGGGTCACACCTGGCAGTGGTCAAGCCACATGGATCCAGGTCTGCTGCAGGGAATGCGATTAAGTTGCTTCCAATTCGGCAAGAAACTTGACCGGATGAAAAGGACAATGCGGAAAAAGCCCAGAGGTGGGATGGGGGTTGCCTGCGGCAGCCTCTCCAAAGGCTTTGGACTGGGCCCCTCGGCCCTGGCCAGGAGGGTCACTGGTCAGGGATCCTGGGAGCTGCGCTACTCTCGCAGGCCTCTGGAGGGCGCCAGGCTGGGGAAGGCTACTTCTGAGGGCTGGGCTGGATGACCTCAAGGCACACCTGGCCCCTGAGGCTTTAAGAACCTTGGTCCTCACCTCACAGGTGCAGATCTCACAGGGGTCCTCTCCCGGCTGGAAACTCTCACCTGGTGCATAAGTCTGGCCCCCGTAACTGCAGTCTGCGAGGAGAGAAGCCAAGATGGTGGCTTGGGGGGCAAAGGAAATGACGCGCCCAGCAGCTCTAGGGGGATCTGGGCCACTTTTGGGGGGGCAGTGAGTGGGCAGCAAAGGCGCCTCCTGAACCACCGTGAGGAAGAAATAGGAGGGGTGAGGAGGGAGTGCAGCTCACCCCCCCCCCCCGGGATTCCCTTCCACTCTATGAATCAGAAATGCTGAAAATACAAGGTCTGTTGGTGGGAGACAAGCCCTCCGAGTGGGGTGGGGTGAGGTGGCGTCCTGCAACAGCAGTGGGCTGGACTAGATGGCCTTCAGGACCCCTCCCCACTCTGCGATTCTATGATCCTATAATATCTGGAAGTGGCTTGAGAGAAAAATTGTTTCCCAGAGCATAAATGCATCTTTTGTTTTTCTCTCTCTGGTCCAATAGGTCTTGCAGGTTCCCAAAACAATACACAAAACCTGCTGCACCTGTTGGTGAAAGCAAACGGTCAGCACAGCCGCCAATCCTTTTCAAGCCACTTTCACATGCAGCCAAAACCACATCCTTCTCCAGTCTTGCAGCCCGTTCCCCGGAGCACGAACACCAAGCCCGGCTCCACCTCGCAGGGAGAGTCAAGGCATGCAGTAAACTTCCCCTGACATGCTCATGCATGCACACAGTGGGGTGAACATGCAGAGGCGTGGGGAGGCCATCCTCAGGTCCTCCCAGCGAGCCCAACTTGCCCAGAGGGCTTCTGGCCAGGCCGTGCGTTACAGTGACCGGAAGCCGCTCACGCCCCGCTCAGTCCACCCTGGGCTCTGGGACCACTGCGGTGGGCGCACGCAACATGCGCGCCACTGAGCCCCACCCGCGGCCCGTGGGCACCGTGGCTGGCGAGGGGCTCAACGCCGACTCTCCCTGCCGGCCTGTGCCCACTGAAGCGGGCCTGGCCCCCTCCGCGGCGCGGCTGTGGGGCGTGTGCGGCACAAGCCCTCCGGGGGTTCTCCAGCTGCAGCACCGCACCTGGGCACAGGGGGCAGCACTCCCCAGGGACGTCCACCGGGTCCGCGCAGGCGCTCACGCAGGCGATCCGGGCGCAGGTGGCCACGCCGTCCAGGCACGCGCAGGCCACGCAAGGTGCGGAGGAGAGCCAGCCGCTGCCGTCGGCACGCTCCCGGCCCTCGTGCGTGCAGCCTGCGCGAGCGGCAGGGACAGCGGTCAGACTCACGGCACCCCCACCCCCCGCCCCTGCCCGGCCACATGGCACTCCCCCCCGCTCTGTCGCCTGCCGTCCCCCTCCAAAGGCCGGAGGGCAACTTTCCAGGCGCAGCACGTGCTGCTCTGCCGAACCAGCGGCCCTTCCCGCCTTTAGCCACCAGTCTAAGCATCTGGGTGTTGGGGTGCGGTTGCTGGGCCAGCCAGGCCGGGGCAGAGGGATTGGTCGGGGAAAAGGGGGGCACGCACGCTGCTGCAGAGGGCCGAGGGCGGGGGCACCTTTGCAGCGGGGACAGCAGACCCCTGGCTCAGTCGTGGGGTCGGCGCACGGGGCCGGGGGGCAGCGGATCACCTCGCAGCGGACGTTCCCGTCCTGCAGGGAGAGAAGAGCGGGGGCCGCTTCAGGCACGCAGCCCCCGGCGGCCCCCGCCCTCGACGGAGCGGCCGCGAGACCCCTCCCGGGACGGGCGCGACCCGCGGGGCCGTGGGCTCACCTGGCAGGTGCAGCTGAGGCAGGACTCCGGCCGGAAGGCCTCCCCGTGGGCGCGGCGCTCGCCCTCGAAGAGGCAGTCGCGGCACAGGGGGCAGCACTGCCCGGGGCCCGGGGCCGGGTGGGAGCAGAGCGCCTCCTCGCAGGGCACGGCCTCGCACACGCTCTCGCCGCCCTGCAAGGGAGGCCGTGTGGGCGGGTGGGCCGGCCGCCCGGGGTGCGACCCGCTGGGGGGGTGCCTGGGGGGCGCCTCGGCAGGCCCGCGCATCGGGGGCTCTGCAGGCGCGTGGACGGTCCCGGAGGCGGAATCGTGGCTGCAGCGGCCCCCGTGCCCCCCCGCCCGAGCTGTCCCGCCATGTGGCAAGGGGCGGGGGGGCGACCCACCCAGAAGGGCCTCTTGCCTCCCCCCCAGGTCAGGCTCCCCCCACCAGCGGGTCACCACGACCCGCTGCTGGCACCCGGCTGGCCGAGCCCAGACACGCTGGCCGCCTGCAGCGGGACTGGGGGGGGCAAGAAAGGGGGGGCAGCAAGGCAAGGGGTCTCACCACACAGGAGCACTGCTGGCAGGGGTCCAGGTGCGAGAGCCACTGGGAGCCCTCGGGGTGCTCCCGGCCCCCGTGCTGGCACACTGAGGAAGCGGGGGGAGAGGGTTAGAGCGCCCCCATGCCACCCCCCCGGCCTCGGCCCACAAGTCTGCCGCCCCGGAGCCCCTCCCCACACCTCGCTTCTGCGAAGCAGGGAAGTTGGCCCCTCGCCCAGTGCTAGCCCACAGACCCGGCGGAGGGGGCAGGCCGGAGCGTGGCCGCTGCAGCCCAGCAGGCAGAGCCGCGCCTGCTCCCCCGGAGGCAACCGGGCTGCGGGGAGGGGCCCCTGCCCACAAGGCCCCGCCGGCCAGCTCCTTACCCAGGCACTGGGGGCAGCACTGCCCAGGCGCACGCCGGGGGGCCGCGCACGGCGTTGGGGGACAGGCCGCCGGGGCACAGAGCACGCTGCCGCGCAGGCAGGTGCAGCGCTGGCAGGGGTCGGAGGGCGGGACAAAGGCCTGCCGGTCGGCAAGCTCCCGGCCCTCGTGGAGGCAGCCGTCGCAGGCGGGGCAGCAGGCCGGGGCGACGGGGGGCAGCGGGTGCGAGCACTGCGTCGGGCAAGGCTTGGGCTGGCACGTCACGACTTCCGCCTGTGGGGAGGGAGAGAGAGGCGTGGGCTGTGGCGGCCCCCACACGCCCCCGCAGCCGCGCTGGATCAGAGTGCACACCCGCCCCCGTCGCCACTGGGGCCTGGTCTCACTGGGTGGCCCCTGGGGGAGGGAGCTCCCTGGAGAGGTCCCACAGCAGCGCAGGCCCGGCCGGGCCCCCTTCCCCAGCCGGCCACTGGCTGAGCTGCCGCCGGGGACCCACGGCTGGGTCTCTGGCAGAGGGGCTCCGAGGCCGCGAGGGGCGCCCTTGGGTGGGTCAGGAGGGCGCCAAGGAAGAGCGAGCCAAGTGCCTGTGTCCGGTCTCGGCAGGAGTGCGGCATCTCCCGCCTGGGCTTCCCGGGAGGGGTGCGTGGCCCGGGGCCCCGATCCAGCCCCCCACTCACCAGGCAGGTGCAGGTGCGGCAGGCGTCCTCCAGCGGGCTGAAGGCCTCCCCGCTCTGGTAGAGCCGGCCCAGGTGGAGGCAGGGCCCGGGGCACCGCGGGCAGCACTGGCCGGGTGGCGTGACGGGGCTCCGGCAGGGTGCGGGCGGGCACGGGGGGGGCGAGCAGGTCACGCTGCCGCTCTGGGGGCGGGAGGAACGAGCCCCAGTTATGTGCATCCCGGGCGCTTCCGGGCACATTCTGGCGCTCAGAGGCCCCTCTGGAGGGTTGGCTCTCCCCGCCCACTGCACCGCACTGCCTCTCAGGCAGCTCAAGAGGCGGGAGAAGGCCCTGGAAGCCCCGCGGAGGTGCTTCCATGGTGCCGTTGCCGGGCGGGTTGTTGCGGGTCGGGGCCTGTGGGGCCACAGCACCCGGACCGTTTCATTGGCAGGGAGAATGGGGGGGCAGCGCACCATGCTGGGCCCCCCGGCCCCCCAGGTCTCACGGCCCCCTTCACAGCAGCTGGTGGGGAGACGAACCCTCCCAGACGCGTGACTTGCCTCGCAGAGCAAGAACCGGATGCACACCCCGAGGCTGCAGGATCGGAGGGGAGGGCTGCCGAAGACCCCCGAGGGCAGGGGGCCGCCGTGGGCAAGCACGAGGGCCACGTCCCGGCCCAGTGGCGGCTGGGACGCTGCAGTCCCCTGCCCCCCCCCCCGTCGCTCCTTACCAGGCACTGACACTGGCTGCAGGGGTCCCGGGGGTCGGGGAAGCGCTCGCCGTCCCCGCAGTCGCGCCCGTGGAAGTGGCAGGCGTGGCAGGAGGGGCAGCCGCACGGGTCCCGGGACGGGTGAGGGCAGAGGGGCGGGGGGCACAGGCGGGGCCCACAGGAGACGTCGCCTTTCTGGGAAAGAGGGAGGAATGCTGGGCGTGTGCGTGGCCGAGCCACCGGGGCAGCCCGTGGCCTGGCGACGCTGAGGGCCGTGGCCGTGGCCGAGCCCGGAGCTGCCACGGGGGGGGGTGTGGAGCGCTGTGCCCCCTGTGGCCTGCCCCACCCTCCCAGCTGCAGTGGCAGGACCCCCCCCGCCACTGGAGTGTGCCTCGCGTGCAGAAGGCTCGGGGCTCCATCCCAGGGGGGCGCACGAAGCCCCCACCTGCATGCTGGGAGTCACGGCCTTCATGCAGATGAGGACCGCAACTCCCGCAATCCTCCGCCCGCAAGGCCACTCCAAAACATGCCTGCTGCCCCACCCAGCTCGATGCATCCCGCCCAGCCCGCCTGCGCCCAGCCGGCCCTGCCCACGGCTCTGCCCCACGGCTCTGCCCCACGGCTCTGCCCCACGGCTCACCAGGCAGCGGCACTCCTCACAGGGCTTGCTGGGGGCGGCGAAGGCTTCTCCATCCCCGTATTGGCGCCCCTGGAAGCTGCAACCTGGGGGGGGGGGGGGGGGGGCGGCAGGCGTCTTCGAACCACGGAGAAGGGCAACGCCCCCCCCCCCCGGATGGCACCGGTGGGCCCCACACACCGCGCAGGCGGCCTGCCCGCCTGTCCCTTCGTGCCGCCTCGGCATTGAAAGATGGATGCAGAAATCCCATGTTGTACAGCCCTAACTGGACCGCACCACTTCCGTGCACGGGGGTCAGATCAAATCAATCAGTCCCCACCACGTCACACACTCCCAGCAAGTGGAAAGGCGGCGCTTCCGGACGGAGGGCCGTGGCATGGCTGGCTCCAGCCTGGTGGGGGTGGGGCTGAAGCAGCCTCCTCCTCTTGGCCCCCCCTGGGCTTACCTGCCGCTGAGCCCAGCCGCCCTCTCCATTGCCCACAATGCCCTGGGGTGATGCCGGGGGGCGCCGTGCAAGCGGGGCCGGGAGGCCAAGGCGACGTGGAGAAGATTCGAGTCCTCCCTTCATTCTGGAGCTGGCGGGCCACCACTCGCTCGGGCACCTTGCCCAGGCCCGGCCCACTTGCCAGCAGGCTAAGGCTAGCGAAACCGTCCAGGGCCAGAGAAAGCATCTCTGGAGCAGGCCCTGCACCGCCTCCTTCTGGCAGCCCGGGGCCGCCCCTCGTGCGCGGAGGGTGGAGGCCCTGGCCCAGCGGGCGGACCCCGAGGATGCCGCACGGAGGGGCCCGCAGCAACTGCACCCGCACAGCTGCGCCAGTACTCGCTCGTCCAAGAGAAGAGCCAGGCTGCGCTCCAGGTGCCTCGGCAATTCCCCTGCCCTCACCCGGAGACCAAGTCCCCGCAGGGGCCCCGCAGACGCCTCCGAGCCCCAGCACATCCGCCAAACGTCCGTCTCCCCAGCCCTGCACGGGCTCGACGGCTGCTCCTCGCGTGCCCACGGCAGTGTCCCCCCACCTGCGCCCAGGCCGCCTCCTGCCTTCTTCCCCACTCTTGGACTACACCCCCCATCCTCCCCAGCCAGCACGGCGCTTTGTGCCAGGGGTGATTGCATGGCAAGACACGCGGGAGATCCCAGGCTGGGGAGGCGGCCCCGGGGACCCCTTCCCTAGGCACCACCGACCTTCACACACGGGGCAGGAACACGGACCGGGGACTGGATCGGCACAGGGGGCCGGCGGGCAGAGCTTCCTCAGGCACTGGACCGAGCCGGCCTGCAAGGAGAGAGGTTGTGGGGTTCCCTTCCTCGGATGCCCCCCGCTGACCTGCAGATCGCAAGCCGGGGCGGCCGGGAGCAGTCCTTCGGCGCTGGGCCAGGGGCTGCGCCCCCCCCCCCGACGACGCAGCGCAAGCGCCCCGGCATTACCAGGAGGCAGTGGCGGCACCGGAGCTGTGGTGCCCCAGAGCCTCAGTGAGAGCTGGGCGGGAAATGCTCTGCCCGCTGCCCCTCCGCCCTCCAGCTGTTTCCTCGCGTCAAGGCAAACCGAGTGCTTTGGAACGGCCCCAAATGAACGTGCCGCTGCTTCTCCGCGTCGGTGCAGCCGCACTGGGTTCTTTTCCGACGACGACCGACCTGCGGCCCCTTGGATTTCCGGGGAGGCCCCAGGAAGAAGCGGGCAGTGCGAGCACAGGGCTCAGCAGGGGCACATCCGGACCCCTGAACCTCCCCTGGGGACGGGGCGCTCCAGGAGGGACAGTCCTCCCCAGCGCAGCCCCTTCTGGAAAACCCTCACGAGGGAAATGGCACTTTCCAGGCGCAAGTTCCCCCCAGCGGGAGCCCGCGCGTCCAAGCAGCGGCTGCTGGGCCCCCCGTTCCCAGCCCCCCGGCTGGACGCGTGCCCCTCGGGCCGCGGCACTCACCCGGCACGTGCACTGGGCGCAGAGCGGGTCTCCGGGGTCGGCGAAGCTCTGCCCGTCGCCGACGGTGACGCCGTTATAGGAGCAGCCTGTTTGGAGACGGGGTGGGGGGTGGGGAGGGGTTACCCGGCGCCTCTTGGGACCCCCGTTTGCGCCTCTCTGCCCCCCCCTTAGGGTGCCTGGGAGTCGGACGAGGGGCTGCCGCCGTGGGGGGGGTCCCGTGCAGCTGCAGGGCTTTTAGGCCTGGGAAGGGAAGCCGAACCAGCGTGCGGAAACACGGAGGTGCCAGAAAGGGCTTCCGGCTGCCCTGACGGGGTGCCCCTAAATGCCCCCTACGCTTGGAGGTTATTTGAGTCCGGGCTTCTTACCGGGAAGCGGCCTGCACGGCCTGCCCTCAAAGCCAGAACAGATTAAGAAGAGGGTGCTCTTGAGCACGCGCAGAGCACGCTTCCTGTTTTAGGGCAGTGGCGGGCGATTGGCCTCGGAATGCCCGTCCCGCCTTTTCCTTCTGTGCTCTCTGCTCCTGCCTCGGCTCCGGCCACGCGCCGCGCCCGGTCCCGTCTCGTCCCGTGCCCCCCGCCGCCCGGGCCGGCGCCCTGGCGCTCTGCCCTCACCGTGGCACGCGGGGCAGCACTGGCCGGGCAGCCGGGCGGGGTGGCTGCAGCCGGCCTGGAAGCAGGGCCTCTTCGCGCAGGTGACGAACCCGCCCAGGCAGGAGCAGAGGCCGCACGGCTCCTGGGGGTCCGGGAACTCCTGGCCGTCCAGGTAGTGCTCAGAGAGGTACTCGCAACCTGCGGTGGAGGAAGGGAGAAGGAAGCACCGGGGGAAGCGCCCCACCGCCCCCGCCCCCGCCCCCCCGCCCCGCACAAGCCCCTCACCTTCACAGGCCTTGCAGCATGGCCCTGGGGCCGGGAAGGGGCACTCGGCCGGGGGGCAGGCCCGGGGTGAGCAGGTGACGCTCCCCTCCCAGCAGAGGCAGGTCCGGCAGGGGCCCGCGGGGTCTTCGAACGGCTCCCCGTTGGGCAGCTCCTTCCCCTGGTAGAGGCAGCCTGTGGCAGGGCAGGCGCAGGGAGGCACCGTCAGCCAGGGGACCGGGACCCCTGGCCGGGGGGGGGGGTCGCGGTAGCAAAACAGGACGCAGGAGAGATGCAGAGACCCCGCCCCACTGGGTGAAGGACTCGAGTCGCCCAGCCCAGCCCCGGCCTTGGCTCCAGCTCCAAAAGGGGGCCCATCAGCGGCCCACCTCGCCGGGCTGTTGTGAGCACGGGTGAGGGCTCCCTGCCGGGCAGGACGGGGCTGCGCCCTGCTCGCTGCTTGATAGCCGGCAGGTTGGGCCAAGAGGGCCGGGCCCCCGGGCCGGGTGCCGGGTGCGGCTGGGGGCCCACGGAGGGCCGGGGGGCGCTGTTACCATCGCAGGAGCGGCAGCAGCCCTGCTGCAGGGGGTGGGTGCACGGGGGGGGCGCACAGGGCCGGCGCTGGCACGTGACGGTCCCGTTGCTGCAGAGGCACTCGCGGCACTGGTCCGAGGGGTCGTGGAACCGCCCCGCGTGCGGGTAGGACAGGCCCAGGTAGAGGCAGCCGGCTGGGGGGGCTGAAGGGGGAGGCTGTCAGGGGCTGCTGGGGGGAGCCCCCCGGCCGGGGAGCCTCGCCCGCCACGGGCAGGCGCCCCCTGCGCTGCCCACCCTCCTTCCTTCCCCTCCAGCGCAGCCCCATTCCAGGATCGGGGCCCGTGGGCGGAGGCACGCCAGCCTGCGCCCGCCCCCCCCCCCCGAAGCGGTGGCTGGGCCGCCCGTACCTGGGCATCGCGGGCAGCACTCGCCGGGCACCACGAGCGGCTCGGGGCAGGGCAGGGGCGGGCAGCGGCGGGACAGGCACTGCGCGTTGCCGTTCTGCGCGGAGAGGGGGGCGTGAGGGGCCGAGGGCGGGACCCCGAGGAGGGAAGCCCCCCCCCGCCCGCCCGGCACTCACGATGCAGTGGCACAGCCGGCACCGGTCCGTGGGGTGGGGGAACTCGGCCCCGTTGGGGTACTCCTTCCCCGCGTAACTGCAGCCTGTGGGAGAGTGAGCGTCACTGGCCGGGCGCAGCGCGGGGGCGGCGGGAGGGGGCGGGGGGCCCTTTCTGGGGGGCGGCGCGACTCCGGGCGCGTGGTCCGCTCCTCTCAGCGGCTCTTCTGGGGGTGGAGGAGGGGGCTGAGGGCGCACGGGGGGAGTGCCAGGCGGTTGGGCTGCGGGGGGGGGGGCTGGCCGCAAGTGCACCCCCACCTTTTCGGGGGCCCCCCGCAGCTAGCAATGCAGCGCCTCGGCCTGCTGCACTGCCTTTCCACTTGCGGGGGTTCCCTTAAAGCCAGGGCAGCATTCAGAGCTGGACTTCCCCTGCCCCACAGTCTGGAGGGGGGCAGTCTTTTCCACGGGGCCAGTTCTCGCAGGTGTCCACCGGCCACAGGTGGACGTGTGGGGTGTCCCCTGCGAAAGGCCCTGCGTGCCTGAGCTGATGGTGCGGGGGGGCTCCTCCCCTGGGATTTATGTCCAGCGTGCCATTTATACCACGCTGCGGCCGCCAACAAGGGCCCTCCGGAAGGAGCCTATTCCCCCCCAGAGCAAGCGCCCCACAAATGGCTGCGGCTGCCAAGGCAGGCAGTCACAGGATGATGGGAGGCGGCATCCAAGGGGTGGCTCCTGGAACAGAGAGGCCCTGGAGGTGGGGCGGGCAGGCCTCGCTGCGGCAAGGCGGAGGAAGGCCGGGGGACGGTTGGAGGCGGCTGGGGGGGGGGGGGGGGGGGGCCCGGATGTGTCCTACCATTGCAGTTGTTCCGGCAGCAGGAGCCCGGCAGCGGGTGGGCGCACAGGGCCCCCGGGCACCGCCGCTCCGCGCAGCGCAGCTCCCCCCCAGCGCACACGCAGGCCTGGCACGGGTCCAGCGGGTTGGGGAGCTCGCTCCCGTCGGGCACCACGCGGTTCTCGTGGGCGCAGTCTGAACCGGGGGACAAGAGGCAGGCCAGGTGAGCGGCGGCAAGACCGCGGCGGGAAGGGGCCAGGTGCCGCGCGGCACTGAGCCCGCTCCCAACTCACCCGGGCACTTTGGACAGCAGGATCCAGGCCTCTTCTCCGGGTGCGGGCACGTCACCGGGGGGCAGACGGTGGGCGAGCAGCGCACGGTGCCGTCCTGTGGGGCGAGGGGGCACGCTTAGGCCCACCCGCGGCCCCACTGCGGCCCCAGCCACGCAGGTCTGCCACGGCACTCGGGGGGGGGGGGGTGGCGGGAGGCCGCGCTCTGGGGCCGGCCATGGAGGCGGCTGGCGTCTTTCCCGGTAAGCGCAAGTGTGCGGAGCACAGGACCCCGCGGGCCGCTGCTCAGCCATGTTCCCAGCTCCCAAGACGGGCCGCAAGCGAGGCCGAGGGCAAACCCTGCGCCGGAGCATCTGCCTCTTACAACGATGGCAGCGAGTTAGAACCGCTTTGGCAGGGATCTCAGCCAGGTAGCCTTCACTGGCCCTGAGCCGCTCTCCAGCCCGGAGCCAGAACTCGCAAGCCGCCCACGGAGGGACGGCGCCTTGGCAGTGGCGGCCTCGCTTTGGCGCCCCGTCCCAGGGAGCCAGGCCAGGCCCCTTCGCTGCTGGCCACGGTCCTCTGCAGAGCGCTTTCTCCCAGCCTGCCTTCGGTTAGGGGAGACACGGTCCTGGGGGAAAGCTGGCAGGCCCTGCCGAAGGAGTGCCTTTCAGGGCACGGCGGGGCCGCGTTGTTCCCACCTGTGTCAAAGCTCAACCTTGCCTCAATCATGCGGAGAGGACCAGGTGCCCCGAAAGGCAGGGCGAACCTGTGGAGGCCTGGATGAGGAGCCGGCAGAACAAGCACCCGGCCAGCTTTTGGCTGGCTGTGGTCTGGCGACCGCGCAAGCCGGCTCAGCGCCCCGGGGCTCACCGTGCAGCGGCAGCTCTGGCAGGGGCTCTCGGGGTCGGTGAACTCCTGCCCGTTGCTGTAGAGGTGCTGGCGGAAGGAGCACTCCTGGCATCGCGGGCAGCAGGCGCCTGCGGGGAGAGATGTGCCGCGCACTCCAGACACCTGCCGCGCCCGCCCGCCTCCCCTCTTTCCGCCACTGCTCGCTCTCCGCTGGGCAGAGGTTGGCGGGGAGCAGTGGGGTGGAGTGGTCAGCGTGCCAGGCCGGGCCTGGAGGTTCGGGTTCTGGTGCCCTCAGCCATGAAGCTCACAGGGGGGCTTTGGGTCAGTCGCAGGCCCTCAGGCCAGCCAACCTCACAGGGTTGTTGTGAGAAGACTGGGAACCGGTGGGATTTGAGTATAATGGTGACGAGGGGGAGAGGGCCGGGTCGGCATCTTAGGCAGGGTCTGCATTTGCCAGAAATGTTTAGCAAGACACGTTTAAGGGGAAGACAGGTTTAATAATAAAAGCAGTATTACAGATGCCCATCTCTGACCCATTTTCAAGACTTTTTGCAGGGGGCAGCTCTAACCCAGCCTCCCTCAGCCTGGTGCTCTCCAGAGGTTTCGGAGCACCTCCCCGCGTCCCGGAGCAGTGGCCGTGCGGGCTGCGAGGGACAAGCGGGAGAGACGGCGGCACCCTGACGCTCCCCACGCCGCCGCGTCCCCGGCCGGCCGGGGCCAACAAGCAGGAAGTCTGCGCCCCCCGGCCTCTGCCCTCTGCCCTGGCCATCTGGGCGGATGAGCAAGACGAGGGGACGCCCCGGGACGCTCGGCCCCCCGCCACGTGCGGGCACCAAGAGGACCGGCAGCTGCCCACTGCCCGCCTTGCAGGGCAGCCCTGCCCACGGGCCGGGGGGGCACACACCTTGCAGCCGGGCCGGATGCTGGCAGGGAGCCGGTGGGCACGGGAGGGCACTGCAAACCGGCTCCCCCTGGAGGCAGGTGCAGGTGCTGCAGGGGTCCCCGTCCGGCTCCCACTCGGTGCCGTCTTCGAACTCCACGCTGTCCAGGACACACACTGGCGGGGGGCAGATACGTGGGTCAGGCCAGCCCTGCCTTGGGTCCGGGCGGCCGGTGGGCAAGCCTGGCGGCGGACAAGCCCGGGTGGCCGGGGGTCCCAGTCCGGCTGAGAGCATTCTGCGCCAGGCCACTGCCCTGCACTGAGCATCCCGTGGGGGCAGCGGTCCCCACAACCTCCCCGCAGGAGTTCCGTTTGGGTTTATCAAGGTATTGCTCCGCTGAGGACCTCGGGGAGGTTTCTCTGAATGAAAACAGCAGCGATACATCAAACGGTGCTAACACTTCACCACTGAAAGGGGTAAGAAGGCGCAGGCTGGCAGGAGAGGCATCCGAATCCTCCGAGCAAATGCATCCTGCACCACACCCCAGGGCTAATCTCAGCCCACAAGGCAGAACAGTATTAAGACGGTGGTTGACCCTCGAAGAATTAGACCCTCGCCACAAGCGAGACTAGCGGAGCTTCTAAAGAAGCCCCCCCACCCCCCCAGGGCCCTCACCACAGCCTCAGCGATGCTCACGAACTGCGAAAGAGCTTCTCCATGCGGCTCGGCCAAGTGAGCCAAGCCGCATCCTGGCGATGGGGCGCTGCCCCGCAGCTGCACCCGCCTCCTCACCAGGAAGCAGAGCAGGCGCCATGCTGGGCTGTGCCAAGGCTCGCCCCCCCCTTGGGGCAGTTCTGGGTTCAAGGATCACCTTTGCAGACCGGGCAGCAGAGCGCTGGGTCTCGGACTGGCTGGGAGCAGAGCGCGAGTGGACACAGCTCCTCGTGGCACCGGACCTGCCCGCCCTGGCGGAGGCACAAGCGGGGAAGGCTGAGCCCCAGAGGCCACGTGGGCACGGCTCGCGTTTTAGGGGTGGCGCTACGCCCCGTGAGCCGCCAGCTCGCAGCCCGCGGGGAAAGACAGGAAGGCTTGGGGGGGAGCCGGGCTCTAGCGCGGGCCACTCCGAGCGCCGCAGAAAGTGCCTTTCGGACCAAGCCGCTTGCTGGGCCCACCACCCCTCGGCTGCTGGGTCCCGAACGATCCCAAGCAAGTCCCGACAGACAGGGGCTTCCACCTCGCAGCACGGCCAAGCTAGCACGGACCGCTGGCATCCTGGGAGTCCTTCGCTAAAGGATGCTTGGCTAAGCGCGCCCCCGCGTTTGGACGCAGCCCATCCTTGGCCCCAAATGCAGGGACAGCGCAGGTGCTGAGCCCTGGGCCAGAGGGCTGACCTTGGGAGGCTTTGGGGGCCGCGTCCCCGGGGTAAGAGCCGGATGATGCCTGAATGCATCCTTCTCAGGGAGGCCCCCCCAAAGGCAGCAAGAAGGGTGGCTGCTAGGGCAGGGCCTCCTCCGCTGTGGCACCTGCTCTGTGGGATCAGCTCCCCAAAGAAGTGCCCCTGGCACCCGCTTTATGCTCCTTTTGCTTCCGGGTGAAGACCAGCTTCTTTTCCCGGTGCAGTCCCACCCCGAAAGGGATCCCTCCCACACCCCAAATCCCTGGGACTGTGGCCATCCTTCCCGGCCACGTCCTCTCACGCGCGACCCCCACCCGACTCACGGAGCACGTGCAATGCAGGCAGGGGCTGCCCCCGGGCGGCGTGAAGGTCTCCCCGTCCTGGTACAGGTGCGCTTCGAATTCACAGGCTGCCAGGCAGGATTTTGAGGCAGGAGGACAGACGTGGGTGCTCAGGCACGTGCCCAGCTCACCTGGGAACGAGTCCCTGCCCGCTCGGCCCTCCCAGCCCGCCCTCGCGGCCCCGGCAACCCACACCCCCACTCCTTCCCTCGTCCTCCTCTCCGTGGCTGGTGTTTCGTACAGCATGCAGGTCGTCTTGCCCCCGTCCTTCGGGGCGGGACCCCCGGGGCTCTAATGCCGGCCTTCTGGAGCCTGGCCCAGGCGAGAGGGTCCCTGGAAGTCCTCCCGTCTGGCCCCTCGGGCAGCCTGCCCCAGGCCTGGCAGATCAAGGAGAAGAGAGGACCCCCCACACAGACCGGGGCCTCCGCTCCCGCCTTGCCCGCTGCTCTCTCGCCCCCTCTGCCCCGCCTGGGGGCTGCCAGGGGCCCCGGCCCCTGCATGGGACCAGCGGGAAGCGGGGGCTGTGGCGGGAGGGGGGGGCGAGGCGAGGGCTCACCGCTGCAGGTCGGGCAGCACTGGCCCGGGAGCTTGCCTGGGTGGCTGCAGGGGGCTGGCGGGCAGCTGGCCACGGCCGGCTCACAGGTCACCTCGCCGGCCTGAGAGAGCAAGCGGGACGTCAGGACAGGCCTCCGCGCACCCCACCCTGCCCTCGGGGCCGCTCAGCCCATGGACGGGGGGGCGGGGGGCGGCCCCAGACTCACCGCGCAGCTGCAGCGCTGGCAGGCGTCCCTGCTCCGCACGCGGTCTCCACTGCGGTACTCCTGCCCTTCCCAGTGGCAGCCTGGGGGCCCCGGGACAGCGTTAGGGGCAGAGCCGGCTGGGGAGCGCTGTGCCACGGGGTGCGGCTGCCCATCCAAGGCACCCGGGGGGCCGGCCCTGCCCCCGCATGTGCACCCCGCCGAGTCCAGGGGTCCCCCAAATCTGTTTGCGCTGCCCTCCCCTCTCTCAGCCCGCATGGGGGATGGAGCACCCGGCCGCCCAGGAGCACCCGCCTGCCCTTCAGCTCCCTGGCTGCCGTGCTGCCTGTGCCAGGGAACCTCGGGGCAGCCCCTGGAGGCCCCACGCGCCCCGCCTGCTCCCACCCCAGCCCACGCGCCCCCTGTGCGGGCCTCACCGTCACAGACTGGGCAGCAGGTCCCCGGGCGCGGGCTTGCCGGGTGGCGGCACAGGCTGGCACAGCGCCTCCTCTGGCAGACCGCCTTGCCTTCCTGTGGCACAGGGAGGGGGGGCATGGTCATAGGCATCGTCCTCGTTCTCATCCTCCTCTCCATTAGAGGGAACAAAACGCTCCCACACTGTCCCGTAACCCTGAAATGCAGCCAGGCCACGAAGCCATTCGAAAGGCCACGGATCAGGCACAGGGAAACCAGGTAGCTGAGAAGCGCTCGCCAACTGCGCCAAATGCTGGAAAGCGGCAAGGCGGGGGCCAGCGGCCGAGGCTCCCCCCGGGCCGAGAGGAGATGTGCAAAACTGGTGAAGCGGGTGCTTTCAAAGAGGACGCCCTGCGTGTTCCGCGTCGCTCCCATGAAAGCCTCGGCTCCTTGCTAAAGGAGCTCCGGCAAGGAAGAGGGGTCCCTGCTCCGGCTCCCGCCCTGGCTTCTCCCCTTCCAGCAGGCCAGGCCGTGCAATCCAGCGGCGCAACATGGAATGCGCCAGAGACCAGCACCGTCGTGTGCACGCTGGAACCCCAGGCAGAGCCTTCAAGGTCCACCCTGGTTGCCGTTGGACAGAAAAAGGGACTGGGACCCCCAGGATGCCCCCAGCCAGCTCTGCTCTGCTCGGCACGGGGCTATGGGGCTGAGCCAAGGCACCGCGCCCCCTCCCTGCGCAAGGCAGGCGGGGGTCCTTGAAGAGCAGTGGAAGGCGCAATGCCCCATGGCGGGCTCACTCCACCCTCTGCCCCGAGCCCGCAGGGGTCTGCCGTGGCCCCCATCCAGCAGAGGCAGCCGTTGGGCCGAGGAAACTGGCCCGCCCCCCGCGAAGGTGGTCTCACTTCAACTTCCGTCCGCCCTCCGAAAGAAGAGAGAAGACGAAACCTTCTCTCCGCACCCACTTCTTTCTGGACCAGCCAACGGGCCCAATGCTGCAGCGGCTGGAATCGCCCCGACTTTGCCTTCAGGGCACCTCGGACATGGCTCAACCCAGAGTCCCCCCCGGAGGGGCTGTCCATGCCACGGCAGGGTGCTGCGGCAGCCGTGGGCCTCCCCGCCTCCCTTGCCTTCACCTGCCGTGGCTTCCAACTGTCGCACCCCAAGGCTGCGTGCCCCTCGCAGCGGGAGCGGTTATTCCAGACGCCAGCCCCACGGACGCATTTCGGTGGTGTGACCTGGTGCCTGCAACAGCCGGGGGTCGGACCTGATGGCTTTCATGGCCCCTCCCCACTCTTCTGTTCTACCATTCTATGAAATCCATTAGCATCAATTCATTTTAACCCAAACCAAATCCATTAACATCATTAATTCATTTTAAAAGCAAGCACAGGTCCCCTTGACATGGCCTGCCGAGTTCTGGGCATCTCGGTTTCACTGTCTGCGCACGATGGCGCCTGAGGAACCCTTTTATTCGTTTACATAGTTTATGCAAGTGGGTAGCTGGATGGAAATGACCCAGCGCAGGGCCGCTGCGAAAAAGACACACTCCATGATTGGCATAACGAGGAAAGGAACGGGGAGGGGGACGAAATATAAAACCGCCAGGGCTGTATCACCCGTGTACGGCTCTATGGTGCAGCCGCCCGTAGAATTTTGCATACTGTTCAGGTCCCTGGGCCAAAAAAGCTTATAGCAGGGTTGGGAAAAGTGCCGGAGGAAGCCTCTAGGGCTCGGAGCGGCTCCCTTAGAGGAAAGGCTGCAACAGCCCGGACTCCGCTTAGCGTAGGAGAAAGGCCTGCGAGGGGAGAGGCTGCACAGACCAAAACTCTGCCAGGGCATCCCGTGAAGCTGCTTCGTGGGAGATTCAGGGCAGATCCAAGGAAGCGCTTCTTCACACGGTGCAGAGTTAAACTACTGAACATGTGAATTCTCTTCTTGCGTGCTTATTTTCTTCTTCGAATAAATAAACAAACAGATGCCCCACCTTTCCCCCTGGAAATGGTGCCCAGAGCAGCTATGGAGGAAGGACAGCCTGTGTGGAAGCCCTGCCATCTGCCCCAGAATCACTTTCCCAGTGGCTTGGGAAAGGCACTCTGCACATGCTCGAAGGCACTGCTCCCACAGGTGGTTCTCCAGGCATCGGGCCTGACCTCCAGTCTAAGTCTGGTCAAATTAAGCTCTTCTATCGTGACGGAGAGAGAGAGAAAGAAAGTGCCAGGGGGGGTGGGGCGGGGGTGAAGCAGCTTCCAGCGCTGCCTTCTGGTCTTACCAAGCACTTGCACCGCAGGCACGGGTCTGCGGGGGGCGTCCACTCCTCGCCGTGTTCGCGCCGGGCAGTGCCATCCACGCATCCTGTGGGGCACAGCGAAGGCCGCTCACGGGGGCTGCTGGGGGCCCTCGCGAGCCCAGACCGGAAACCCGGGCCGCAGACGGCCAGAGAGGGTCTGGGACGCCATTTGAGGGGCTGCCCCTCCCCTCGCACAGAGGCGCCGAGGGGGCGCTGCCAACGGGGCCTGGGGCCGGCCGGCCTCGTTCTGCCTCCTTTCGGGGCCGCAGCTCCGGGCCCCTTCCGTGCAGAGCGGAAGCCCTGCGGCCGCTTCAGGTCCAGCCTGACGGCCAGCCTGGAACGCCGAAAAGCTACGGAAGACCAGAGTGCAGTGCTGGTCCTGGGCAGGCCAACTCGGCTGCAAGTCCCACTGCGTTAAATGGGGCTGGCGCCCGAGCAAGTCTGCATGGGACTGTTGCCTTCGGATACTAACCGTGCAGAACGAAAATGTTTTAACAGCCATTTAACATCAAGCAGAAAAGGGTCCGGCTGAACTCCCTTGGGGAGACGGCTGCGGGGTGAGGGGCGCCCCCACGGAGAAGGCCCCGTCGCACAGTCCTGCCACCTCCGCCAAGGGGCCAAGTGCAAGGGGGGGATTGCGTGCATGATTCAGTGGGAAGTCCTCCTGCACAAGCCCTTCCCAGCTCCTCGATGCCCTCCCCTGGCAGCATCCAGCAGGAATGCCCCGGGCGCCGCCTGGCAAGCCTTGAAGCCACGCCGAAAGAGCAGCGGGTGCTCCGCTGCCACAGGCCTTCCGCCTGTCCGTGCATTCCTCTCTGGAGGCAGGGCAGCCCGTCCGGGACGTGACCGCCCCCCCCCCCCCCGTGACAAAGCTATCGCCCCCCGGGGTTTTCCCCAGGCGGGTCGGATCAAAGGCCAGTATCCAGAATTGGTGCCCTTAACAACTTTGGATGCAAAGCCGAGGTGGGAAACCCAGGGGGCTTTCGACTCATGCTCGATTTGGAGGGCACCACAGAGAAATGCAATCTGTCGTCCCCTAATGAGCAGGACACCGGCCGGGTCTGCCAAACGCCAGCTCAGCCGCCCGCCCATCAGCTGCCTATCCACTGCTTCCGAACACCCAAAGCCCTTTCAAGGCCGTCAATGCAGAGGGTCCGTTTCTGCAAATGTGCGCCTGTCCTTTTGGCGGGGAGATCAAGTGTGGCTTTAATCCGGGCGGGTGGAATGTGCCGCCTGCATTCCTGGAAAGGGCTGGGGGGGAGGGGAGGGGGCTGGGGCCGGCCTGGCCTGGCCTCTTCCTCTCACCTGGGCAGCGGGGGCAGCAGTGCCCGGGGGCCTCCTCCGCCTCGGCACAGTCCAGCTTGGGGCAGGCGACGGGGGAGCAGAGCACGTTCCCATCCTGGAGGGGAGGCAGCAGCGGGGCCTGAGCACCTGGCTGGAGGCCTCACTCGCCTGGGCTTGCTCAGGTGCGGTGAAGGGAGGGTGGGCAGGACCAGGCGGCCCCAGGAAGGGCCAAGGGCACTGCCCACTCCCTGCCGGCAGAGGAGCCAAGACCGACTGCGGGAAGAGGGTGCTTGGGCCAGCAACAGCCCTGGCGGAGCTGCCGGGCCTGCGGGTCAGCACGGCCCTGATTCAGGGCATGCCCCCTGCTCACGAGGAGGCTCAGAAGCATCCGACAGGCCACCACACAGCCTCAGGGTCTCCTCGAGCGAGCCATCGCCCGGCACGGTGCTGAGATGGCTGCCAACAGCCCGGCCCGCCCAGACCACAGACATGGAGGCCTGAGACAGGGTGGTCCGCCGGCCCCGGGCCTCGTCCCGTTCCTTGGCGGTTCTGCCAGGAAGGTGCTGGGGCCAGATGGGTCCGTGGGAGCTCACAGCAGGGCCCAGCAAGGGCCTCCTCCCACTCGTGCTCGCCAGCAGCTGGGGCACGGGGGCCTGAGTGTCTGCCCCCAGATCGCTCAGGCCCCGCTGCCCCCGCCCTCGCCTCATCCCAGGGCCTGCGGCTCAGGCGCGCCCCTCGCGGGTGCCCACCTGGCAGGCGCCTGGGACCTCCCCGCTGCTGGGAACGAGCCGCCCGCGGAAGAGGCAGCCGGAGCACCCCGTGTGCGCAGGACGGGGGGCACGGCTGGGCAGGGACGCACGCCAGCCCCGCCGCCTGCAGGGAGAGAGCGGCCGTCGTCCCTTCCGGCGCTGCCGAAGTGGCGGGGGGGAGCAGGGGGGCAAGGTGCCGAAGTGGCGGGGTGGGGGACAGAGGGAAAGGGACACAGCGAGGGACGCGGCCGGCACGGAGGCCGGCTCGATGCCTGGGGGTGCCGACTGCAGCTTCCCATTATCCTCTGGAGCCCCGGCCTCCAAGGCCCCCACTAGGCTGGGAGTCACCCCCCATAGCTCACCGAGCAGGAGCAGCGCCGGCACCCGTCGTCCGAGGTGGCCTCCTGCCCCGGTTCCAGGGGCCGCCCATCCAGCTCACACACTGGGGAAAGAGACGGGATCAGGGAGAGGCAGCCAGCCGGGCCCGAGGGGGTGCCACGGGGCCCCCCGAGCATCGCTGCCTGTCGTGCCAGGCCTCGCCTCAGCCACAGAGTTCTGGGGGGTGGGAGATGTGGTGGTCCCCCTGTTGAAACCCCCCACGGTTCCCTGCTTCCTCTTCCTGAGACCTCTCCTCCGTGTTGCGGTCCTGGCAGCAAGCAGCTCACCTGGGCAGGTGGGGCAGCACTGGCCAGGTTGTGCGACGGGCCTGGAGCAGGGGCTTGGCGGGCACTGGACGGGGTGGCATTGGACCAGGCTCCTCTGGGGGCAAATGGACAGGGTTAGTGCAGTACCCCCCCCCACCGAAAATGCCAGTCACGTTCTTGGACTCCTGAATGGTACCCCGCAAACGGCATCTCCGACCAACACCAAGGGAGCACTTCAGTCCATGTGTGTGTTTGTGAAAGCTGCAGCGATCAAACAGCAAGGAGCAGAAAGACACTCTGCATATGCCTAGAGGAACTCTCATGGAGAGCAGAACTGACACATAGAGTTGCCCAGCCCAAAATTCAATTTCCAGACCTTCAGTGGCTACACAAAAGAACCAAGACCGCGCATGGCTTTTACACGGGGCACGCAGGGGGAACCCCAAGTCCAGGAGTGGCGCGCCGTTGGGGACCAGAGGCTGGGAGGGCCAGCAGGGACTGGCCCTCACTCCTCCTGCCTGGCCGAGGGGCTTCCCAGAGACACTACACCGGGACGGATCGTCAGGTGCGGGCTCGGGGGCTCCAGGATCCTAGCCCCCGGGCTCTCCCGGTCTTGCCCTGCGTGGATGCTGCCCCTGACCAGAGGTGGGGGTGCTGCCCCTCACACACACTCACCAGGCAGGAGCAGTTCAGGCAGGGGCTGGCCGCGGCCGCAAAGGCTTCCCCGTCTCGGTAGCGCTGCCCTTCGTACTCACAGCCTGCACAGAACGGGAGTGGGACGCATCCTGGGTGCTGTGCCGGCAGCCCACCCACCCAGGGCAGCCAAAAGCACCGCTTTCCTCCACTGCCTCTTGGCTGTTCAAGTCTTTTGTTTTATTCTTTGTTTAACTAAACTGTTCATATACCATCCTTCATTGAGCACAAAAGTCATTTTGAAATACATCAAAAATTATAAGGCACCCTAAAAAGAGGGGATCTCATGAAGGGTTCCCACACCAAATCAGTAAATGCAGCAGTAAGCAAATTCATGTTGAGCCGGTGTCGGAGCGCCTCACGGGACCTGCTCCAGAGCCCTCCGTGGCAGCAACAGCCCTCTGAGCCTGGCCGGGCCCCTTCAGCAGCGAGGGCAGCCCTGTGAGCAAGCTCTGGCAGGCCAGTCGCGCTACTCTGGAGCCCCTGGGGGGCGCAACGAGTCCCCTCCTTCCCACCCCCGCGTTGGCGCATTTTCCTGGGGTCAGAGACCCCGTGTGTGTGCACCATACACAGATGAGCACAACACCGATGCCCCTGCGGCAATGCTGGAAGTGGCTCGGAGGCTCTGCAGCCTTCCCTGTGTGCCCCCCCCCCCCCCAGCTCTCACCTGGACGGCAAATGGGACAGCATTCCCCGGGGGGCGTGTGGCGCTCTCGGCAGGAAAGCTCTGGGCATTCCACGGCCTGACACTGCACGGTGCCCGCCTAGCAGAGGGAGAGAGGGGGGCGCCTGACCGGTGGAAGCGGCCTCAAGGGTGAATGCGGCCCTCGGTGAAGCCTGCTGCCCCCCAGTCCCCCCGAGGAGGAAGCCTGATCTCTCAGCAGCCTCGGGGTGCGTCGCCCGCAGCACCAGGAGGCCTCCATCCCAGCCCATGGGTGCACGGAGGCTGCATCAGCACCATTCTGCTCCCAGAATGCTCAGGGGGCCTCTGGGGGGGCAGTGGGTGCCGACAGAACTGTGAATCAGGACAGCTCCGCTCACGGGGGGGCCCAGTCATGCCCCCGCCACCTGCACAATGGGAACAGGGGTAGCGCCCTGCCTTTCGTGGCGAGTGGGTGGGCTGACACAGAGCACCCCGAGGGCCCCCAGAAGCCCTGCCGGAGCCTTCCCCCCGCTTCCCCCCACACCTGCCTGCGGATGCCCCCCCCCCACTCATCCAGTCCCTGCCCTGCGGCGAGCTCACCTTGTAGACACAGCAGGTGCCGGGTTCCCCCAGGTAGCCCTGTCCGTCCGCCAGGTGGCGCCCCTGGTGAAGGCAGCCCCACAGTCCGGGCAGCACTTCCACCGGCAGGGCACTCTGCCACGCAGGTCAGAGAGCGGCCCGGCCTTTGATGGGGGCGCGTGGGGGGCGAGGGATAATCCCGCAGTCCTCTGGCCCTGGACGAAGCGATCCCCACCTCCCCGGCACTATGCACGTGCTCCGGCCCCCCAGGGCGGGCATGCCACCGGGGCAGCGGGACACAGCTGCAGGGGTGGTACGGCCCTGGCAGGCCCCCTCCTCACCTTGCAGTGGCAAGTCAGGCACGGTTCTGGCCGCCAGCTCTCCCCTTCCTGCCGCCCGTCCACGCAGCCTGCAAGGAGGGAGGGCCGAGGTTAGGGTGCAGTTGCAGGAGGATCTGCACCTCTTGAATTTCTGCCTGTGTTGAAGCTGCTGAAGGCACAGGAGCCCCCTTGGTTCTTTCGAAAGCAAGAGAAACGCTTGCAGGGAAAAGCGAGTTGTGTGTCCCGCACAATCAGGTATGGTGGGGGAGGGTTCTATGGGGTTGGAGGGCCTGCAAGGGGGGGGGAGCCTGGGGGAGGGGGGGCAAAAGGGGCGTGTTTCCTTCTCTTCCTCTCCTTACGTTAGGAATTACGGAACAAGACAAGTTCAAAAACAGGAAGATTTTCGGAGCGCTGCGTGGCAACTTGTGTTGTGCTCAGGACCCGTCCGAGTTTGACGCGTGGCGCAAACAGGAAAGCGGGAGAAATTAAGCTGCATTCGAACGTGGCAGTGATGCCGAGTCCCCAGACTGCTCCGAATCGGAGCACCTCTCCCCACCAAGGCAGGTGAGGCGGATTCACCTGCGCAAAGCGAGGCAGCTGTGCCGCAGGGAGGCAAGCGCCCGGTCGGCGGGTCAGGACCCTGTCCGGCAGACGCGGGCTTGCGATCGTGCGCAAGGGGCCGAGCGGGGCAGGGCCCCACGCGCTGCAGCAGAAGCCGCGTTCTCCCGGGCTGCTCCCTGCGCCACCAGGCAGACGAGGTGGTGGCCGGGCAGGGGGCCTCTCTCAGGAGCCCCCGTCCTGCCCCCGGGCTCGTTCCATGGAGATGCTCTCCCAGTGTGAACGATGTCCCCGTGCGCAGGAGCTTGGTCTTTACTTCGCTGTATTTATTGCAGTCCCGGGTCCCCCCAGCTTGCATCGGGACTGCCCCCGGCCTGCAAGACCCCACGGAGCCAACCCGGGGCCCAGGAGCACACCGTCCCGCCTCACGCCCCTCGCATCGTCTCACCGAGGCAGTGCGGCCGGTCGCGCCGCAAGGAACACTCCAGCTTGCCCCGGACGCACGTGCAGGTGGCACAGGGGTCTTTGTTCCAGGAGGCCCCATCCTCGTAGCGCTGCCCCTCCCAAAAGCACGCCGGGCGCTGGCACTCACAGTCCTCCAGGGCCTTCACGCGGCCCAGAAGGTCAGAATTCTACAGAGAGAAGGTGGTGGGCAGAGGTTACCCTGGGAGTGGACGAAGGGATAACATATTCCTGACACGTGCTTAGCACGGAGGCTGCATCGTGGCATGGCAGCTTTTGTTTTTGAAGCCAAGTTTCTAGTCCTTATGGCCAAAGAGTGGGAAAAACAGGAACTGTGCGGGCAGGACCAGGTAAAACTTCAGCATGCTTCTGGAAGTCAAGTGCTTGGCTTTCGAGAACCATGACTACTCCACCCAGGCGGGTCCCCACAGACCCGTCCTCCTCTCCCCATTCCGACACCCTTCCCACATGGCACAACACACATTAAGCCACAGGAGGAGCAGTGGGGGGCATCCCCCTCCCAGTGACAGTGCTGGGAGACGGGGGGGGGGCACTGGGACTCACCTGCTCTTTCACCATGTCCAGCATGGACCCCAGGCCATCCACTAGCTCCTCCAGCCTCCGGATCCACTCTTCCAGGCTGGCCCGGTGGGGCGGCTCCTCTCTCAGGGGCGGGAAGTCGGAAACGCTGGGCTCCCGCTGGTAGTGGCGGATGTCCGTCAAGGCCGGGGGCTCGAGCGGGGAGGGGGCGTCGAGGCCAAACAGCCGGGCCTCGGCCAGGGCCATGTTGTGCTCCTCCGGCATCGCGTAGGGCAGGGGCGGCAGCTCTGGCTCTGCGGGGGGTGGGGGCAGAGGCCCAGAAGCGTCTTGGGATGCCTCTGGACGGTGGGCCCCACGGGCACCCCTCCCCTGGGAGGCGTCGCCCTGTATTCCCACCCTCTGCCTTCTGTCCAGCCACCAGCCCCTGACCCGTAAGAGGTCCCCCCTCCGCACACACATCCCATGACTGCTGAGCTTGCCCGGAGTCTTCGGTGAGGGACTTTGTCAAATGCCCGTCAGAAGTTCAGGTAAATGCCATCACTGCATGACCCCCGTCCGCACCATCTGACCCTCTCAAGAAAGTTGAAAAGGTTGTGAGACAGGACTTACCTTGGCAAAAGCCATGTTGATTCTGTGGCAGCAGGCCAAGTCCTTCTCTGTGTTAACTAATAGTGCCTCTAGTCCTGCTTTCAACCGATTTAATCTTGCCCATTTTTGATATCTCAGATCTCTTTTTATTGTGTTGGATTGGCCATTCTCCAGTCCTCTAGTATGGAGAACTGGAGAATCCTGCATATTTTTCTTAGAATATGAGCAACTTCTTATTTGAGTTCTTTAAGGACTCTGCGATCAATACCACCTGAGCCCAATAACTTATGAATGATCAGTGTGTGAATATGGACGAAAAGTTCCGCTTTCATCATCAGTATTTGCCTCACTTCCGCAAACTCCCTTCCCGAAAAGTCCATTTGGGGACAGGTGAGTATCTTCTATACATTCTGCTGTGAAGGCAGCTGCAAAAAATCCGTTCAGCTGCTCCAGTCTCCTGATCCTCTTCTGACGCTACAATCATGCAAAGACGCACTGGCCACCCTATGAAGTTCCTGCTTCGGATACATTTACAGACCCTTTCCTCGTTTGCCTCTCTGACGGACTCCCTCATCCAGCTCCTTCGCGTTCTCCTCATCTGGGCCAGCAGCCCAGCGGGGATTCCAGACCAAGCGCTGGCCCGAGATGTGTTGCTCGGGCCAGAAAAAGACGAGCCCAGCCACACGCCCCGTGCACAACAGCGAGGTGGGATGGGCGTCCCTTGGACCGCCTTCCGCGCGAGTCCTGCTGAAACGAGGGGGCTGAGCAGGCGTTTCACTGCGCCGGCCTGTCCGGTCTGCCATCTCTGTTGTCGTTAGTTGCGAAGTCGTGTCCGACCCATCGCGATCCCATGGACAACGCTCCTCCAGGCCCCCCTGTCCTCCACCATCCCCCAGATCCACTTAAGCTCACGCCGACTGCCCCAGTGACCCCATCCGGCCACCTCATCCTCTGCCGCCCCCTTCTTCTTTTGCCGTCTATTGTTCCCAGCATTAGACTCTTCTCCAGGGAGTCCTTCCTTCTCATTAGGTGGCCAAAGTATTTGAGCTTCATCTTCAGTATGTGGCCTTCTAAAGAGCAGTCAGGGTTGATCTCCTCTAGGACTGACCGGTTTGATCGCCTTGCGGTCCAAGGGACTCGCAGGAGTCTCCTCCAGCACCACAATCCAAAGGCCTCAATCCTTCGGCACTCGGCCTTCCTTATGGTCCAGCTTTCACAGCCATACATTGCAACTGGGAAAACCGTAGCCTTGACTATACACACTTTTGTTGGCAGGGTGATGTCTCTGCTTTTTAGTATGTTGTCTAGATTTGCCATAGCTTTCCTCCCCAGGAGCAAGCGTCTTTTAATTTCTTGGCTGCAGTCCCCGTCTGCAGTGATCTTGGAGCCCAGGAAAATAAAATCTATCACTACCTCCATTTCTTCCCCATCTATTTGCCAGGAAGTGAGAGGGCCGGATGCCATGATCTTAGTTTTCTTAATGTTGAGTTTCAAGCCAACCTTTGCGCTCTCCTCCTTCACCCGCATCAAGAGGCTCTTTAGTTCCTCTTCACTTTCTGCCATGAGAGTGGTATCATCTGCAAAAACTCTTCCGCAGCTTGGTCAACTCTCTCTTGAACCCACCCGAAGCCAGAGCTGTGACTGATGGAAGAGCCCACCTCCCTGAGTCTCTTGCCCTGTACCCACGCACAGTTGGAGAAGAAACTGCTTTTTAAAGTGTGAGGCAATTTCCCACCTGCGGAATCAAGTCTGCGTCCACACACATACCCAGGTGCTGCAGCCGGAAAGTATTACGTTCCAGGCCAGGGCCTTGGGGGCTCACACCGAATGCTCTTGGAACATGGCAGGCCAGGATGAAATTTGGCACCGGGTGCAGGATCAGCCAAATGTTTGGTGCCAAAACATGGCCACCACCACCAAAGCTTAGATAGTGCAACTGAGCTGGTTTTTAATCTAACTGAGGGGTTTTTGCCACCCGTTTTCACAGTGGGGAGGAGGCAGACCAGCCCCGAGGAAAAGCGGAGCCTCGGCAGCCATCCACCCGTGCTTGGCCTCCCGCTATTCTGGATTTTAAAAGTATGCTTCTGGTCCTCATGCTTGCAAAGATGCCCTTGCAACTTTGGAACGGGGAGTGCAGGCGTCAGGCAGGGGAAGAGGGGCTCAGCCAGCGTGGCAGGCCACAGGACGCCCAGCGCGCACATGCTCTGCGCTCCAGGGAGGCCGAGAGCGGAAGCAGGGCATCACTATGCAAATACGATTAATGCGCATGGCTTAGTCACGCCGACTTGCTTTGTCTTCGGCTCTGCAGGGGAAGCGGCCGGCCTGGCTTGGCCCCGCGCGGTTGGGGGCAGCCCCCCGCCGGGCCGGATGGCGGGCGGGCGGGCGGGGGGCTGCGTCTGGCCCGGGGCCGCCTGCCGAGCCGGGCGCTCCCCCTTCCGCAGGAATTGCCCCCCGCGGCCGGAGCTCGCCCGGTGCCAGCGGCGCCTGACCCTCGGGCTGCCGCCAGGGCAGGGGGCGCCGGGGGCCCGCCTCGCCCGCTCCGCTCGGGGGGCAGGGGCGGCGCGCCCCCCGCGCGGCACTCAATTAGCGCCGGGCCGCGCCGGGGCCAGCCAGCTGCAGCTGCGCCGCCGCCGCGCTCATTAGCAGCGCCGAGGGCCGGCCTGGCCGGCGGGGGGCCGCGGGGGACACCTTGTTCTCCGGCGATGCCGGAGGCTGCTAAGGCGGGCGCCCCCCCGGCCACCCGCCCCAGCAGCGGCACGATGGCAGTGCGGGGGCCAGACGGCCCCCCCCCGCGCCGCCCCGCCGCCCCTCTGGACTGGGATCCCAGGGGGAAGGGAGTGGCTGCTGCGGTGGTCCCAGTCCGGGTTGCGCCCCGGGCGCCTCCCCAGGAAGGGGGGTGTGGGCCGCGCCTGTTCCCCAGAAAAGGAGCAGAGCACCCCACGGAAAACAAAGCGGCGGGGGGGGGGGGCAAAGAACCGCCTAACAGGCGCGTGGGCACGCGAGCACATTTACCGAAGTTAAGTAAGTACCGATCCGGCAATTTAAATGCAACTACAGCGCATCCCGCCCCGAGGCGGTGAGCAGGGCACAGAAGGGGAGCAGGTAATGCCCAGGTGCAAATTCCACCCTCCCCATTGACCTCCCAGCCATTAATTTGCGTTCATTTCTGCAGCTTTAAACCACATGATTTGGGAACAAGAAGCGCAGCAAGAAGTGCTCTGAAAAAGAGCCGGGAAGAGCAGCGATTCCTCTCCATTCTGAGGCAGCTGGAGAAGGCAAGGAAGAGAAGTTCCTTTTGGCTCCAGGCTGAAATCTTTTAATTTTCCCAGTATGTTAAGGTTGATTTTGATGTGGGATTTTATTGTATAGGAAGTGATTTGGATGCTGTGCTCCGCCCTGTTTATTGTAAGCCGGTCCCAAGACCTCAGTAGCCGATGGGATATAAAAGTTTTGAATAAATAATAAGTTCCCATGGTGGGCCGCCTGCTTGGCTTGCACGAAAGTTCACGCTCAGCCCCCAGCCTTGTGGAAGTCCCCCCCCCCCGTCAGGAAGGGTGGCATCGCCCGAGTGAGGCCTCCGGACAAGGTCGCCCTGTTGCTGCTGATGGGAGGGGGTTTTCCTTTACAGCCTTGGAGAACTCTGCGCCTGTCGAAAGCAATCCTTGGACAGCCAGTGTGGGGGCTTTTCTCTGGACTCACAGGAGCGCTGGAGGCTGATCTGGCGTTCCCCCCCCCCCCCAGCCCAATCCTGCCTCCTCCGACTGGCAGTGCCTCTTGAGGGTTCAGGCAGAAATGGGTCTTTTCCATCACCTGCTACCTGACCCTTTAAACTGGAGCACTTGAATAGGGGAAGGGGCCAGGCAGCCTGGTGGCAGAGCACCCGTCTTGCAGGCAGGAAGTCTCAGGCTGAGTCTGGGGTGTAAGGCTGCGAAAGGCTCCCCCCAAATCCTAGCCAGCTGCCAATCGGTGAGGGACCCCACTGGCCTACCTGGGCCGTGGGTCCCCCCGTGGGACTTGCTGCGCGAGGTGCTTGCGTCTGCTCACCTTCCCCCCACTGCAGGGGAATGCTCCGATTTCCTCCAGCAACACCTGGAATTTCCAAGCCCCCCCCCCATTGCCCAAGGGCAGGTATGCTGAGGGAATCAACTGCCAGGCACTTTCGGACCACAAACGCCCAAGACAAGCCCCCGCTCCCCAAAAGGGCCCGTTTGGAGCTGTCTTTGCAGCTATCGAGGGACATGCTCAGGCAAACAGGGCTGAGCTGGAGACCTGTTCCCTTGCTCGTTTGCGCCTTGTCCCACAAGGTCCCTCAACTTGGCAAACTGTCCCAAAAACGGTTTGGACGGAAATTAATCTTCTTGATTAACTGCACCATTTTCCATCTAATCCTATTAGAAGCTGTGTCTGCACTCTGGTTTTGCAATTTAAAGCACTCCTCTTTAATCCAGGCCCTCCAGGCCTGTTGGCCTGCGATTCCCATCCCGACTGGCAAGCGTGGGAGCTGTGGTTCCACAGTCCTGCGGGACACCAGGTTGCGGAAGGCTGATAAGAGCATCCCAGTGGCCCTGCTGGTCCCAAGGTGCACCCCTCTGCACACGCGGAGGCAAACCAGCGGCCCACAGGGTCCCCCAGCTGCACGAGGCCAGGACGTCCCCCCGGCCCCCTCCTCTGGTGAAGGGGGGGGCCGTGGCCAGCAAGGCTGGTGGCCTCGGAGAGCCTTCTCGCTTGCAAATTTTGCCCTCCCCTCGTTAAGTCACAGACGGCAGCCATCACCCCTCCCCGTGGCGTTTAGAGGCTGCGTGAAGAAGGCCTTCCTTTCATCTCCTCCACCCCCCACTAGAACCAGCTTCATGAGAGGACTCTGGGCTCAAGTCTTGTGGGGGAGAGAGAGAACCATCTCCATCACCACTGGCCTCACCGTGAATTATTTTAAACATCTTTTTGACCGGGCAAACCACCCAGAGAGCCATGTCGCTCTTGTGATGGTCTGTAAAACTGTAAATAAACAAAGGCCCATCGTCTCTCCCCTCCTCTTCTTCCTAAGCTGAACCGTCCCAGGTGTTGCAGCCGCTGCTCATGGGGAAGCCGCCCCAGCCCCTGCCCTTCTCTGCCCCTTTTCCCTGCTGAGCAAAGTCCTTTCTCAGGTACGGTGACCAGAACCGAACATGACATTGCAAGTGCGGTGGCACCAAAATGTGTATAAGGGTAGCAAGAGCTTGGCAGTTCTATAGGACTGGCAGAGGCATGAGCTCTAAGGTGCAATTGCAGAAACACAGAAACGGCGAGCCAGAAGGGGCCTCCCGGGCCATCTAGTCTGACCCCCGACTCCAGCTGGCTCCGCTCACGACATGCCCACCATGTGCACGTCCAGCCTGTCCTTGAACACCCTCACCGACGGGGCCTCAACGACCCCCCGTGGGAGCCCATTCCACACCCTCGGGGTCCTGACTGTGAGTAAGTGCTTCCTGGCATCCAGACTGAGCCTTGGTTCCCTGAGCTTGGTCTGTTGGAGCGCATCCTGCCTTCCTCTGCAGGGGAGAACAGGCCTCTCCCCACCTGCGTGTGACACCCCCTCACGTGTGTTGACAGAAAAGGGCCCCACGGTTCCCCGCTTCCCCCAGCCGTGGGAAGCCCGAGTTCCAGCGGCTCTCCTGTGCCTTTTGCCAGGCTCAAACGGCCACGTAACAAGACGGACCCCTGCGGGGACCGAGCGGTGGCTCGAGCAGCTGTCCGACACCAGGGCCGCCCTGTGGCATCTCATCGGGACCGCGCGATGTATGCTTCCTCGCAAAAGGACGGGGGGGAGGACCCTGCCGCTCTCCGCCTCATCCGACCCCTGCCTAGCTTTGGCTTTGGGCCACGCTGGCAGCGAGCAAAGCCACGTTCCGGCCACCAGCGGCCGAGAGCAAGACAAGGTCACGGGCCTTCCTACAAGAGACATTTAACCTGTTGGTTACATGAGGCCTCTGCTTCTGGATTCCTGGTGGGATTAAGGGCGGCTCGTCTACTCCCCTGCTCTTCCAGGGAGCTGCTCTGCCTCCCCTCCTGTCTCTCCCACGCCGTGACCGTTACGGGTGGTACGGCAGGACTGTGCAAACAAGCCAAACGCGGCCCTTTCTCCAGGGGCCAGACTTCCACCGCGGGGGGAGAGGCTACGATGGCGGCGAAGCACGAGAGACGGAGAGCCGCCCGAGCGTGAGGCACCAGCGGACCCCCGTGCGTGAGGATTCACAAGTGCACAGCAGAGGCTGCTTGGCTCTGTATGGACGCCCCCATGGGCCAAGGCAGGGAGAAAGGAAGCCAGCGCTGGCCCTGCGGTTTGCACCACGGTGACTTGCTCCGGGACACCCCCACTCCCCGCTGATCCTTTCCGAGTGACCTCCGAGTGGGCTCACTCGATGCAAAGCTTGGAAGGTCCCGGCTAGAAGGAGCAGGCGGGGCAGACCCCTGATGGTGAAGCGGGGGGGAGAGGGGGCCATCTCTGGGATGGCAGGTTTCTTGCCAGGATCCCGCGAGGCCACAAGTCTCTGGGGGCCCGTTCATGCAGAAAACGCCCCGTCACCAGCCCCCACGCACAATCAGTTCCCATCTGGCTGGGCTTGGGCATGCTGGGACTTGCAGTCCAAAGCATTTGGAGGGCGCCAGGTTGGAAAAGAGGTCTGTGCGGCGCTACTACGGAGAATGAAGCCGAGGCCACGCTGGGAAGTTCCGCCGCTTCCCGCAGCGCTGCCACTGAGTGTCTGGTAAAAGGATCGCCCGGAAGCCTCCGAGCTGCATTCGAGGGCTTCAGCGGCGCCCCATTCCTGCCCCGCCTGGTGCTCCCCGCTCTCTGGGGCCTGCGGCCCAGCCGGTCTCCCAGACGCCGCCCACCTGGCTGCCAGCCAAGCGCCTGCCCGCGGCAGGGACCATCTGGCCAGCTGGGCTTGCTCTCAGACACGCCAGCGCCTCGGCGGGGCAGCATTTTCCCAGGGCCGGGGCTGCTTTGATCCCCGAGCCCGCCCCAGCGGCCCCGTCCCATCGGGATGCAGCGTGCGGCCCTCCCCCGGGGCGAGGGCGGCCCGCGATGCGCCAGCGCGCGTCCTGCAGGTGGCGCCTCTTACCTGGCAGGTTCTCGCAGTGCCAGGGGCGGTGCGGGAAGCCGCTGGGGGAGATCTCCGCCGTCTGCCAGTAGCCCTGCAGAAGGAGGCACGGGTCACCGAGCAGCAGCAGCGGGGCGGCTGGGGAGCACCGAGGACCTCCGGTCCGGGGCCCCAGCTGCTGCTCTTCCCTGAAGTGGGGCAGGGCTGAGGCGATCTGATGCAGCCCCTGGGCAAACATGGGGCCCCCAAGGAGCCCGGGGGGGCAGTTTGCACTGGGGTGTGCCAGCTAGATGGAAGCCGCCTTTCTGGGCTCCTCCTGCCTCCGAGCCGCCATTGTCGGCCTCCTGCTGGGCGCTCGGCACCTGGCCAGCCCCCTCCCCATTCTGACCTCGCCTGACCTTTTACTCTGTCTCCACCAAGCCTCAGCCATGTGCCACGAAGGTGCAAGGGGCGAGGCGCTCCAGGGTCACGATGTGCCCTTAGGCCCCACAGGGCGGTTTCAACCCCCCCGCTGCACACACGGTGCTGAGCGGACCCCGCACCTTCGCCGCACACCCCCAAAGGCACAGGGGGGCTGCGATGGGGCCCGGGCCAGTGGGACTGTCGGCCAGATGCTCCAAGGACTGGGCGCACCTGGCAGCTGAGCAGGACTGTGGGGGTGCCCCTGCCCCAGGCCTGGCACCCTCCGCCGGGGTGGCCTGCAGGCACCGTCTCGGGCACCTCGCCACTCCACATTTCGCTGGCACAGGATGCCGCAACCGCTGTGGGAAGAGGATGGGCTTGCGGCCCAACCCAAAGGGCCGTCGTCCTCGGGGCTCACAGGCAAGGGCCGAACGGCCTTTCCCCAACACAGCGCTTTCCAGATGGATTCGACTGCAGTTCCCATCACTGCCAGGCAGCATGGTGGGCATGTTGCGAGCGGAGCCAGCCGGAGCCGGGGGTCAGACTAGATGGCCCGGGAGACCCCTTCCGGCTCGCTCCGTTTCTGTGTTCTGTGTGGAGGCTGCCAGTCTGGGGACGTCCAGGCCTTCTGTTCCTAGACGCTGCTGCTGGCATGGCCGACGGCTCGGAACGCGGGGACTCAAGCCCAGTCCCAAGCCTCCGGAGGTCTACTCTGTGCCCCGACCCAAGCCAGCGGGAGATCCAGCGGGTGCCTGGACGCTTGCCGAGCACCCTCTGCTTCGGGGCAGCTGCCGCCTTACCAGGAACTTGCTGGCTTTGTCTCCGGCCAGGCTGGCGAAGGTGATCTGCAGGTCCAGCGGCAGGATGAGGCTCAGCATCTCCTCCCCACCGTCCTTCTCGAAGACGATGGGCTCCTGGCACTCCACGAAGAGCGAGACGCGCTGGGGCTCCAGGTTGAGCGCCAGGCGGGTCCAGCGGCCGTGGGCGAAGGGGTTGCTCCCCGGGAAGGTCAGGGAGGCGGGCTCCATGTTGTGGACCGTGCGGTACTCCAGCCAGAGCCGGCCGGCCCGCACGCTGGAGACCAGGCGCAGCAGGGGCCGCCCGTCGCGCTGGGAGGCGGCCGGCGACACCAGGGAGACGAGGGTCCCCTCCGAGCCGCGGCTCTGGCGGGCCACGAAGTGGAATCCGAGCGCGCCCTGCACGGTGGACAGCAAGTAGACGGAGTAGTCCCAGGGGAGGGTGAGGTGCGGCACCCTCTGGCGGAACTTCCAGGCCGGCACGCCTGGATCGGGCCCCTTGGCCCGGGTGACTCCCGTGACGGAGCGGGTGACGTTCAGGGCCTCCAGGAGGTCAATGACTGCAAGGCAAGAGCGGGACTCAGCCGGCGCAGCGGCACGGGGCCCGGCCCCCCTGGGGCCCAGAGCAGCCAGCCAGGGGTCCCCAGAAGCCACCCCCCCACAGGCCCCCTCCTCCCCCAACCACTGATCGCGCGGCGGTCTCCTGGCTTCTCCGGTTTCCCCCACTCTTAAAGGCAGAAATGCCCCTCTGGTCGTCGCCCCGGCAGAAGAGCTTCCACAGGAAAGAAGCCAGCCCTACTTTCATGGGGCCCCCTTCGCCCTTCACCCCCCATCCAGAGGCTCCTCTGAAAGGGACCACAGCCCCAAATGGGGCTCGGCACTGCTTCTGCTGCACAGCCCGTCTCACGGGGTTGCTCTGACGACGGGAGTGGGAGGGAAGCATGTGCCGAGTTCCCGAAGCCGTGAGACAAGAAGAGAGGGATGGAACAGTGGGAGGGGAGCTGGGGGGCGCTGGGGTGGGTCCGGATCCTCCAGGCCCGTCTAGACACTCATATCTTGGACTCTCAACACTTAACCTTTTCCTTAGCTGAAAGGACAACAGCAGAAATATTTAGACAATGAAACTGCAGCGTGTTTTCTATTTTCCTTTAATTGAAGGGTGACGCTGCGGTGCCAGCAGACCAGAGCAGCGGTTCTGGCCAGCCGCTTGCCGGCTCAACTCTCGGTCTCTGCAGCCCCTTAGAAAGGGGAGGTTTGGGCAGGGCTGGGAAACCAGGAAGTGACCGGCACTCGGGAAAAGGAGTCCAGGCTGGGAAGCAGGCTGGGGCGACCCGGCTGGATTTGGCCCAGCCTGAGATGCTGCCCTCGCCTTCAGTCTGCGGGTGCCTCTGATGCAGTAGGGGCCACTGGGGGCCGCCCCGCACCCCAGGAGGGCAGGGGGACCCCCTCTTCTTGGGCAGGACTGGGGGCTTTCGGCAGGCAAGCAGGTGCTGAGGGGCCGGCCGGGGCCACCCTGCAGCGGCTGGAGCCGGTGCTTGGTCCGGGATCAAGGGGGAGTGGAAAGGAGGGCAGGTCCATGGGACTGCAGCCACGCTGGCCTCCCGCGGCTTCCGGGAGGGCCACTAGCCGGCTGTTCGGCCACGGGAACGCTCTCCAGGCTGCCCACGGAACCACGTGCCGTCAGACCCAACGCCTGCTTTGGAGACCCGGCAGGGCCCCCTGGCCTCCCCCGCAGGCTGACAGGCCGAAGTCAAACAGGGACAGGGTTGACTTTGGCCAGGCAAATCTTCACTGGCTGAATTTCTGCATTTGCCCAAAGCACAGGAAACTTCCCAGGGAAAGGGCGGCTCCTGCTGGGGGGGAGGGGGGTCTTTACTCCATGGCCTGGCCTGGCCTGGCCCAGCCGGGGCGCTGGGACCGCTGCTAAGGGACACGTGCTCTTTCCTTTCCAGACTCAAAGCAAGGACTGCCTCCTCCACAGGCCACCCCTGCCTGAGCGGCCAGCTGGCCCGCTCCACACGCACATTCCTCCTCTCCCCCCCAGCCTCCCCCCCCCCCCCCCCCGCCCCCCCCCCCCGCAGCTGCGCTGGAGCAGCACCAGCCGCTCCTAATTAAGCCGGCTCTCGGAGGGACTTTCTGGGAAAGGGTCCCAGGCAGCGGTTTGCGCTTGGTCCCGGCCAAGCCTTCCCGAGCCGATCGAGAGAGCACCGCCAGCGCATGGAGCTGCACAAACTGACGGAGCCGCCTGCCTGCAAGGGCGTCACGCCGACAGCCCGGCCTTCGGCCTGGACATGTCAATTCAGGCGTCAACCCGAGGGATCGGCAAATGTTCCCACACGTCTCGAACTGTTCCTGTTGCTTGCAGGCCCGTGCCATGCCATGCACACGGCAAGCGCATATGCACCATGCACCGCTGCAGAGCATGCATCGAGCAGCGGTGGGGCGTGAATTCTGCAGGCCCCACCCGACGTAACGAGGGAAGATGGAGACAGTAGTCCCAGGCAGCCGGAGGTCACCAGGCGGCCCGCTGTGGCCTGTGCATTTGCACCCGGGAAATGCCATGGGGCGAGAGGCCTCGCAGTCCCGGAGCATCGAAAAGAGCCTCCTTGCAAGCGCAGCCTTTGCGAGACACTCGCTTTTTAACGTTCACTCATAAAGCCCCTCCCTGCAGCCAAAATGCACAAACTGGAATGCGGGCCGGAAGGGATGAGCGTAGCGCCCCCAGACTGCACCCCACTCTCCGGACTGCTCCGTTTCCCAGCTCACGGAGCCCCGTCTGGCTTGGACGAGCTCTCCGGCTGCCGCTCAACCAAGGGCAGAGCTCTCGGTCTCTGCTCCAAGCCGCTCTGGGCTCCGAAGGCGCCCCCAGTTCTTCGAACCGTGCTCAGAAACAGACTGGAAGCCGGCCTGGCCTGAGGCCGGCACAAGGACTGGCAGAGGGCCACACGTGGGGCGGGCTTCTCCAGCCGGGCGCCACCCAGATGTGCTGCACCCAAGCTCCACCCTCATGCCAGTTAGGAAAAGATGGGGGTCTCGGCCAAATTGGCGGAGGCGCTCATGGATGCCACCGTTCACGGGGCCGGCGGGGATGCTCGGTCCGCCCTTGGCGAAGTCGCTCTCGGCACGCCGGTCCTCTCTGGGGCTCCGGTTTGCTCTGGAGCGAAGGGCCCGCTTGTGCAAGGCAGCCCAGGCATTCGAGGGCAGGAATGAGGACTCCCCCGGACCCCCAGCACCTTCCGCACGCAGGCAGGCCTCTCAGGTGTAAGAGCACACAGGGCACCTGCTGCTCTCCCTCCCGAGACGCCACATAATCCAGTGAACTTTATCAGCCATGGATTCCAGAGAGACAAAAGAAGGGACGTCTCTGCAAAATGGATGGAACTCACTGCAGCAGGATGTGTGCGGGGGGGGGGGCTGGGGAGCCCCAGCTTCTGCACAGAACTAGACGTCACACACTTCCGGCCATGTGCGTGCTGAGAAAAGAGGGTACCTGCAGGCGGGGGCCCTGGGGGGGGGAGGGTGCCCCTCCCTGCACAAGAGAAGCACAAGGCTGGGGGCCTTGCTTTTCCCCGCAGCTCCTCGCCTGCTCCTTTGATGGTTTTAAGAACCGCCATAGATTAAGCATGTTAGGAAATGAAACCTCCACAAGCAGGGGTACTATATCTCAGAGCACTGAAGGCTGGTGTCCGTCACCTTGAGGTGTGCCAGGGCACCTGCGTGCCTGGAGGCAGAACGTCTCGCTGAAGGGGCTTTGCTTTGATCTGGCGGGGCAAGTCCAGTCATCCGAATCGCCGGGCAGTCAGAGGTGCCACTTCCCACTGTCAGAGGCAGTGGAGCGTGCAAAGAGTGCATCTGAGCATATGCGGAAGGCCCTTCCCTTGAGAATAAGCAAGAGTGGTGCATCTGCCCTAGTTCATGGCTCATCTTGGGGGCACAAGCGTCCCGGCGAGGGTCGCCCCACCTGAGAAGCACCCCGTGGCCAGGCGCTAAATCTACTCGCTGGGGGCACGACCCAGCCGCCCTGAAGCCGTTCCGTGCCTCGTCCGCTTCGGCGGGAATGTTCTGCCGGTGCTTCATTCCCTCCCTTGCATCGCTGGGCCTCAAACTGCCACGCTTCGGCTGCAACGCGCCCTTCCTTCGGGGAGGGGGGCAGAGGCAACGGAGGAGGTTCTGGTGCGGCTGTTCTAGGGCAACGGGCTTATTACGGCAGCACGGCGAGCCAGAAGGGAGCTCCCGGGCCATCGAGGAGGAGCTCTGCGTAACTGCGAAGCCTGCACACAGTGGCGCCAGCGAAAAGCCGCTCTCGGCGAGTTCTGGATGTCCTTTTGCTGGTCCAGGGAAGGGGGAGTTTTGCCCAGCGGCCGCCGCCGTTCTTTTCAGGGGTTCTTCTGGCGGGGGGGGGCGTGAAGGGGAGCGCGCCAGTCCGCGGCCGCGGGCATGACTCCCCCCAGGCTCTCCCTCCGGCGCACCGGCCCGGCCCGGCCCCCTCCAGCCAGACGCGCGCGCGCGCCCCGCCAGCGCCCCGTCCCGCAGCGCCTCCGCCCGCAGCGTTCCTTGCGCGGGCCCCGCGGCTGGCTCCGCAACAGCCCCCGGGGCGGCCCGCCCGGCCGGCCACTCACCGTTGTCGCCGTAATAGGGCGCCGGGCTCTCCGCGGCGGCGCCGAGGCCGCTGCGCCAGGCGCACTGGAGGGCCAGCGCCGCGCACTGCAGCGCGTAGAGTCGCCAGCGCCCGGGCATGGCTGCGGAGCCGCGCGGCCGCCCAGCGCATCGGAGCCGCGGAAGCCGACGGGGCGGCGGGCCCGCCCCGTCCCGGCCCGGCCAGCGGCGCGGGAAGCCCCCGGCCGTGCCCGAGCGCGCGTCCGTGCGCCGCCTGCTCGCTCGCGCGCCGCCAAAGCGTCGCCCCACCGGAGGCGCGGGCGCGGCGGAAGGAAGGAAGGCAGGCAGGCAGGCAGGCAGGAAGGCGCGCCCGTCCCCTCCTTCCTGGGCTCTCTCTCCGCGCCCCCCACGCCGTCCGGGCCGCCCCCCCGGCCCCCCCCCCCAAAGCCGGGGCGGCGAGGGAGACGCGGCGGCTGGAGCCGCTCCTCGGGGCCCGAGCGAAAACCCGAGACGGAGCGGGCGAGATGGAGCAGGAGGGCCGTCGGGGACGGGGCGAAGCCGCGGCGGTGCTGCCGCTGCGCTGCTCCCCAGTTCCGGGCGGAGGGGCCGGGGGAGCCCGGCTGCGGGAGAGCGGGAGGCACCTCTGCGCCCGCCCTCCCCGACCTGGCGCCCTCCAGGTGTGCTGGACTGCAATCCCCAGCAGGCCCCGCCCGTGCTGCGGTGCGCGAAGGGCGCCAGGGCGAGGGGCTGTTCTAAGCTGTGTGGTTTGGGTATAAAAGAGACATAACAGGATCCCTCCCGCAACTCAGATCTTATCATTCCCCCCTCCCCCCCCCCCCCACTTACACACAGATGCACACACACCGAGGCTCCGCAATTGCTGTGGTGCCAGGTCCAAATGTTTTGTCAGTTTCGTGCCAATGTCCCTCCATGAAATATAATTTTTAAAATCCATGCACAGAAGAAGAAGTGACTCGCTTAATCTTTTTTGAGTCACACATAAGTTTGACAGATATTTGGATATTCCTAGTTCATAAAATGCTGTTTTGAAGGTTTCTTAGTAAGGGCCATCTCTGTTGCCTGCCCTTTTCATGCTGGTCACTCGCAGAGGTAAAGCCCTGGATGAGGAAGTGTGTTCTTTTTGGAGAAACTCACAAAACTGCTTGGACCTACTTAATGGGAAACCTGGCGGATTTCTTGCCTGGTTTACCCACCTGGTACCTGAAAGGAACCCATGTGGGGCAGGAGGGGGGGATCCCAGGAAGGAGGGGATGCGGTGCCTCCTGCCCATCTTCCTTCCACCGAGCAACCTTCTGTTCCTTTCCATGTTGTCCTCACAACAACCCTGTGGAGTAGGATAGGCTGAGAGTCTGGCCCAGAGTCCAGCAGGGTGAGCTTCGTGGCCAAGCGCCTCCCACGTCCCAATCCAACACTCTTGCCCACTGCACACGTGAGTTTGGTTCCACCAGACGGAAAAACTATCTCTGTAAATTTCATCCACATTGTGCTAAGCAGTAAAACGGGTATTTAAGCTTCCGGTAATTATCTGTCTATCCGAACATACAGGCAAAGGCCCCGCACCCACCGGCCAGGTACTTGGCGGGCAAATTCTGTTCATATGGGACTGCCTTGCCTGCGATGGTTCAGGGATTCTGACAAACATTTCTGAAAAGCTTCAAGCGCACAGCTGTTTGTTGATTGCCGATCGATCGTAGCCGAACACAGCCATGAAGTTTTGGATTTCTGAATCGAGATTCAGAGCCAAGCCGGAGAGGGGATGGCCCCCGAATCCGTTTGGACTTGAGTCTGAGCCCGTTTCCATGTCGCCTGACGGGGGTTCAACCAAACTCTGTGGCGCAGCACACCCTCCCAGGCCCCTGGCGCCCTGTCTCTGAGCATGCACATGCTTGCCGGAGGAATGCATGCTCAGAGGAAGCGCCGGCCCTGGCTTTCTCCGCTGTGGACTGAGGCTTGATTTATGCTGCCGTGGCCCGGAATGTGGGACGAGTGCAGACTTGACTGCCCAGAAGACCCTCATCTGCATGAGCAAGAGGCAGAGTGCCCGGGGTCCTAGTCCGGCCCGTGGGTTTACCATCTGCACTCTGCGCATGTCCCAAGATGTCGAAGGGTGTCTCCTACGGCTTAGGCAGCAGGATGCAAACATTTTCATCCAAAGCACGCCGGTGTTTTATTCGAGTTCTTTGCAAGAGGAAGAATGGTAGGTTATAAATGTGATAGAACATGAATTCGGCCCGGGTCCCGTTGCCTGCAGCCCCATCTGCCCTTGAAAGAGGTTCCCAGGGGTTCCCGCGCCCTGGCCTCCAACCCGCGCCCCACCCTCCACAGCGGCCCCAGCCCCACAGCCCTCTTGGCTCGCCACAGTTAGTTGGAACGCTGCTGCCCCCTCGTGGCTCATGCCATCGTGGAATGGCAGAGTGGGAGTGGGCCAAGAAGGCCTTTGGGTCCAGCCCCCTGCCCTTGCAGGACACCAAGCCACCCCACCCCACCCCACCCCACCCAGGGGGCTGCCCAGGTTCTTCCTGAATGCCTCCAGTGGGGGAGAGCCCCCTCCTCTCCGGGCAGCTGGTTCCACTGCTGCATTGCTCTGACGGTGAGGAAGCTCTTCCTGATGTCCGACCTGAATCTGGGTTGTCGCAACTTGAGCTGATTCTTCCGTGTCCTGCACTCTGGGATCAGCAAGGAGAGATCTTGACCTTCCTCTTTGTGGCAGCCCTTGAGGTGCTTATAGAGGGATATCCTGTCCCCCCTCAGTCGTCTCTTCCCAAAGCTGAACATGCCCAGTTCTCCCAGTCCCTCCTCACAGGGCAGCGTTTCCAAACCCTGGATCATTTTTGTTGCCCTCCTCTGGACCCTTCCTAATTTTTCTACCTCTTTCTTAAATCTTGGTGCTCAGAACTGGACACAGTATTCCAGATGGGGTCTGACTAGTGAGGAATGTAGGGGAACTACTACTTCTCCTGATTTGGAAGCAATTGATCCATCCCAAAATGTGTTTGCCCTTTTGGCAGCTGCATCGCATTGTTGGCTCATATTTAGCCTGTTGTCCACAATTACTCCGATATTTTTTTTCCAGTTCGGTTGAGCCACATGTTCCCCATCTTGTATCAATGCAATCGGTTTCTTTTTCCTAGGTGGAGGACTAGGCACTTGCCCTTATTAAAGACATGGGTGCAAGTTGTCCCCACCCTTCCAGGGCAAACCTCAAGGTTGCTGGTTCCCAGTTCCTCAGTATTTACATATTCAGTCATTTCCTTTCCATCCCACCCAAAAGCCTACCCCCACCCCCAGCCTGGAAGGTCAGAGTAAATCATAAGACAGGTACAATGATAGTAAGAATACCAATAAATTAATTAATAAAATATAATATCTAAAACAAATACAATAAACTATGGCATAAATTCCCAATGTGCAATATTTAAAGTAATTTAAACAGCAATTTCAATAAAACATATTGCAATTAGCACAGTAGTGTGGTCCTCTCTTATGCCATTATGCCAAGGAGCAGAGAGGACTCTTAACCCAGTGGTAGAAGGCGGCCTTCAATGGGGAGATCGTTTCAGAACCGGGGCCACCACAGAGAAGGCCTTCTTTGTTGCCACCCTCCAAGGCTCCCTTGGATGTGGCACTTGGAGGACAGCCTCAGTTGCTGAACAGAGGAGATTTGGGCCAGGAAAGGGGTTCCATCGGAGAGTGTAGTTGCAAGATATGTACGGCTTCATGGGTTAATGCCAGCACCTTGAATTGGGCTTGGGAGCATCCAGTGCAGGTGGGCCAGATGGGTCTCATGTCTGGACCTTCTGGATGCAATGATTAATCCGGCTGCCGCATTTTGCAGAAGCTGCAGCTTCTGAACAGTCTTCAAGGGCAGCCCCACACAGAGTGCATTGCAGTAGTAAGTGGGAGGTTACCAGAGCAATGTGTGCTGAAGTTCAGAATGGCTCAAGGCCTGACCTTATGACCTCATGTCCCCCTGCTCCCCAAAACAGACTTCGGTAGCCCGAAGTCAACTATTGTTGGACGGGAGGGAAGGAGTGTTTCTTCTGCAGGGGATGTCCCCCCACTCCCAATCGCGCTGATACATGGTATGCGGCAGTCGGACACTTTGGGGGTGGGGAGAATGGAGGCATTTTAGCAGCTGATTCAGTTTGTGGGCTGAGCTCCTGTAAGAATGAGGAACGGGGAGCTCATACCCACCCACAGCGCCATCCACCTTTGGCATCAAGGGTTCCGTGTCTCCTGGGGAGGGATAACACGCAGGTTCCCCGCATGCATGAAGCCCAGACAGAGATGGGCCTTGGCTTGTAAGCCGCCCCGAGGCTTCGGCGAATGGGGCGGCATACAAATGTTTTAATAAATAAATAAATAAATAAATAAATAATAATAATACTGGACCTGACCATCTTTTGCCAGCTCATCTGTCTCTGCTCTTTCAACCCGTCTCTCAGGTGCTGTTTAGGCCAGGTTAATTAACCTAGTCTGAAATGCCCGGTTCCCAGAATGCTTTGGCTTGCTTGCCCCATTTCCCTTCCCTTCTCGTGCTCTTCTCCACTCCACCTGATCCACTGATGCACTAACACAGAAACAGAGCGAGTCAGAAGGGGATCCTGGGCCATCTAGTCTGACCCCCGGCTCCAGCCGGCATCGTGCCTGTTCCAGGGACTGAGCCTCTGGGGGACTTCCGGCCATGTGTACGCGCTTGGCAGAGGGGCTGCTTTCGCCTGCTGTGCTGACCGAGCACGAGGGGAGCCATGGTCCTGCACATCTGGCGGGCACCACGTTGGGGAAGGTCCGTGCAGCTGAAATCCAACTTGCACGGATTCGCCCGCTAGTATTTAAATCAGTCAAATTTGACTAGGAAGCCACTGAGCTTAGTTCCCCCCCTCAAGACCCCCTGGAGCACGTGGGATTCATGCGGAAAAGAGCAGTTCGCGGCGAGGCTTGGGATGCAGAGTGGCGGCTGCGATTCCGGGGCTCCGAGGGCGCGCGGGAGCGCTGCCCAGCTGCAGACAAATCCCCGGGGGATGAAGCGCCGCGTCTCACCCCCTCACTCGCACGGCGTGGCAGCGAGCAAAGCAGGCCAGCCTCTTGGGGTGCGCTGGAGCCATGGCGCGGCATTGGCT